GACTTCGCCCACCACTATATATGTCCACGCTACGCCTCTGATTCTAAATATGAGGTAAGCAACTTATGTTGACACTCCCCCAATCATAACATTAACTATTAGCAAACTTTTAACAGAAAGTAGACTTCAAAAAACTAAAAGGAATAAAAGAAAACTCAACATAACGGCTTCAGAAGTCGGTGCTATGGTGCTTCAGAAGCATTTGTGGAAATTTTTTATTTTTTTGAAATCAGCTTTAACTTTTTACTAGTTTCATTTTGACGTGAAAGTCTTTAAATTTGCTTCTATCATGGGAGGCAATTCAGAAAATTGATGATAACAAAATCAGGTTATACAATGTGATGTTGTAGCTACCTTTATCATCTACATCCAAAATTTAAAGAATCCGTTACATTGAGTGAGAACTGTGACGCATCGCGTGCAGCAGAAGAAAAAGCGCCGCCATTTTGAGGTAGTTTCATTATGTACACGTATTCACGTGAAACACACAAACTTGTCCACGACACACCTACACCCCGATTTTATTGACCATTTTGATTGGACACGCACACGCACACGCGCTCACTCACGTGCACGCGCTCGCGCACGGAAGACGCACGCATGCACGCACTCAGCCAAACGTGCATAAACAATTGCATTATTTTTATCTACAATATTAAAAAACTATAATTAAAAAAAAACTAAAACTAGTAACTTAATTATCATACAGTCCTAACCCCGCGGTATCGTACCAAGAATGCTGGCTGCGTTTCCACGCTGAATGGCTATACTTAGCCTTTGAGCGAGAAAAGAACCAACCCTCTTATCACCAGCAGCAACGACCAGTTGCGGATAGTTCCCTTAGGAACTTCACCACACATGGACCCTACGGACCAATAGTCTCTACAGCAAATGACACAAATATGTAGTTATCTCTCAGACTATCTCATATTTGCGCCACTTACTCAGTTCACCTGCCTCTGATGACGCCCCGGCTCTAAACTAGGTACCTCTGAGATGAAAGGCCGCCAAAGTGTCTTACGCAAGTAGCATTCCACACTAGGGCTTTACGCCTCTCCGAAGGGACCAATGTCATACCGCCGGGTCTCCTGCCATCGTCTCTAAAACCGAGGGAACATTTATAGAGACAAGAGCCCTTCAGATGACATTGTTCATTGTTTATCTGTATTTATATAGTACAAAGATTGAATTTATCCGTGCGGTGGAAGCCTGGTGATTCATAATACAGTTTTGTACCTAGTTTGGACACCAGTCTCCCGCACTACATTTGTATATGTTTCTTTAAGTTGTGTACAATCAAATTGTGGGAAACAAATAAATAAAGCAATTTAAGCAAAATAAGAATTTCGTTTTGCGATAGGATAAAACTCCTTTTCTACTTAGGAATCCGTCTTGTCGTCAGTTCATTTGTGTTTTAATAATTTATAAATATATTTTTTAAATTTTAATCAAAATAATCACAGGGAATATAAACATCCATCTGATTATTTTGAATTTAAGGCGGGAGGAGTTATGCAGTCTGGAAATAGCCTTAATATCTGTTGATTCCAAATTTTCCTGACTAAGCTATTGATATTGGATTCCTGAAAACATGTCATGAAGGTTACAGACGACTGACTCCACTGTATAGTTGTTACTGCTGGTTAAACCAAGGCGTCATGCTTTCAGTCAACAGACTTGTTTTGACCACCCTATAAAAGCCCTTGCATTTAGAATATAATTCATTATAATTCTCATTGTAGTAATGTAATCACCTAGTTATGGAAGTCAGTATTGCACTGAAATAGTTTTAATACATTATTGTGACGTAATAGTAATAAACGTCATCGAGACATATTTGTAGATATTAAAAAATCTTCAGCACCGCTCCCGAAACTTAACTACATTATGAATCGTTGTTTATAGTATTAGTTGTATGGGACATAATATAGGTACAGAAATTTTAAATTCTTAAATAGCATCGTTTTGAACGAACAATATAATTATTTTGGTCGCTACTCAATGAGTTCTAGACAATAACCTGTATATTGGGTTCGCAAAGAAAGGCTGGGGGAAAATAGTTAAATAAGGAAGGAAATAGTTGTCTAAAGGCCGGCAAAGCATCTGCAATTCCCCTGGTTCCCCTGGTGTTGCAGTTGTTCATGGGCGGCGGTAGTCACCATCAGGTGAGCCGCATGCTCGTTTGCCCCCTCTCCTATAAAAAAAATAGTACGTGGTCTTTAATGCAATTATTTAGAAGACATTCTAGTTATTATTCCTTATTCCACGCGGTCATAAAAAAACAGTCTTCGAAAACTTGGAGAATAAAATTATTACCACATAACAGTTTCAGAAGTCGACGCTATACCCGATTTGAGAAACTATTACGTGAGAATTGTTTTATTGATGTTTGTCTTTATTAAAAAGTAAAACATAGAAATATCATACAAATATTATTTATTATACGATATTTCCATGTTATTATTTGTCAAATCTAATAATTGATATCCCATTTAAACCTGATAGGGTGAAAGTCAATAAAAATTCATGATTAAAATTTACTCCTTTATTGTCAGTTACGGGGAAAATATGTAAAAATTCATTTTCCTCAAATTTTAGATTCTTACAAAGAAATGCATTTCATAAAAATAATAATGATAAAATGTATTTACAAGCGCCTAAACTGTAGCTTACCTTAAAACTATCTAAATGTTTAAATTACAATCGTCCCTATACTTACAGTTAGGTTGAAGGCACGCCAGAAATTGAGACCGTGCGGTCTGTCTTGACAAGTTTTGTGCCCCGCTTTACAAAGTGTTACAAGTTTTATTCATGTGCCAAAGTCGATTTTATATTCAAGTGTTATCCAGTTTGTACTGTCGCTGAATGTCTAATTAAATTAAAAACCTATTCCATATATCTCTTAATATCAATACTTTCGGGTATTATACAGAGAACGTATTTTTTTTTTTTGCTAAAATTGAAATATTTACGATACGTATGTAGGCTCTGTGTCAGCAATTATAAAAATATACTAGTGAAATGTGAAAAACCAAATCAGGACAATTATCTCCAAATTTACTTTGTACTTTTAATTAAATTTGCGTTTTTACTATCAATTTATTTGGGCTTTATCATTTTAATCTTACAAATATTATATTCATAGAATTCATTTAAAGGAAGCACGCGTTTCGCTTAATTTATCCTACTTATTTCTATCAGTAATAGAGTTAGCGATAAAACAATTTTTAATCTGATGAATAATTTTGCAAAAATTAAAAAAAAAAACTTGCTGATTCATTTTAATTGAACTTTGCTCATTGGCACATACTCATGACACAGACAAAAAATATAATAATTCATACTTTAAACTAAATTATACTACGAAGATCATTTTTCAAGTTCGGACTCTCATTAAATATTTTAAAAGAAGTTACAATTTAATATTTACAATATTGACGCAGATGTTCCGACATCAAAAGTTTTATAAACTTAGCTATAATAACTACTTAGCAATTATATAATACAATTCAATAATGTGGAATATTTTTGTAACAAATTGAGCATAGAATGGTCCCAAAGATAACATTTTGTTTCTTTTAAAGCGAAAATGGAATGATGAGATCTTACTTGTACGTGTGTACTTCATTAAAATACTGGAGCGATTTTGTAGTGGCCATTTTTATATTAAATGAAGTTATTCTGGAAACATGAGACCTGTGTAATAGTTATAATTATCATCATTTCAAATAGCTTTCAGCTAATTTGTAATTTTAGCCACCACAAGATTGGAAGAATAACTGGAATGATTGATACGAGCGGAAGAAATAACCTTACCATTAATGAAACTAAGATTGATGCTGAATGCGAATAAAAGATATATTTTTTTAAATAAATATATTATTATCACTGAAACAAAATAAGGAAATAATTGACTATGTCAGGCATCAATCATCAATCTTAGTTTTTAAGCCTTACCCTAAACAATCTGTCTTAGAATTAAAAAAAAAAGATCTACATACACTAAAATACAAAATGTAAACGCTAAGGAATCACACATAAATAATATCCGTTCACGTCGCTACTCAAAACAATCTCATATGAGAAATACATTGTTCTCCCGCTAAAATTAATGATTCAAAACACGTTGTCATATAAACAAGAAAAAAAAATCAACAACACAACAATTCATGTCCGACTCCGATTATTTGTGTATTTTCGTGAGCTCCTTTATTAAATAAAATCAAATGGATTGTTAAAAATAAAATTTTAAATACAGGCATAGTATAATAAATCTTCATTGAAATACAAATTAAGATTAAAATTTATAAGTTTTTTTTTACATATTAAAGCTTTATTGCGTTTATGACGTAAGGTAGTTTATGATAAAAATTAAGGCTCTTACACACTGAAGCTAGCAAGAAGCGTCGGGAGCCACTAAATACACATTACTATTCGTCCATAGACATTTTACACCAATGCATCATACTTACACATCAAGTCATGGCTGTACAAATCAGTCTATAGTCTAAGCCCTAGCACCTTGAGATTATTTGCATTCGAGCACTTTATTCGAGAGACGTATTTTTAATATCAATCGTAAAAATTAACTTGCATATTAAGTTTGTCGTTTTAATAAATATAACCATTTTAGGATTTAGCTCGGGGCTAAATTTTATTTCCTAATGGCTAGACATAGAACTACTAGTATTTTGTTTAAATCCTATGAAATGAAATATTTTTAGTCCCAAAACTTGTATTTTTTCAAATATTACAAGTGCATAATCCAGCATAGATAACAATTTTTGTTCATAACCTTATTTTACAAATCAATAAGAAATATTGAACAAACTCTATGTATGTAAAACAGTTTACCTAAACAGGTAGTTATATAGTATTTAAACAATGTTATTTTTATAACATAATTTAAAAATCTCAAATTAATTTTCAGTCTTACGACCAAACTCATAAAGGCGGTAGTCGCTTGATTTCTATACTTTTTCTTTTAATTAAAGTTTATATTATATATAAATGGCTTCCGTGGCTCCCTTGTTGCTCTGTTGCATGTCATTAGGCGACAGTGCGGCGCGGTCCGACCAGTCGGAGTGTGGCGATTGTGTCAGGGGCGTTTGTGGCGATGGCGTCGACCACTGGTCGGGCGACTCGGGCGACGGCGTCGGGAACGTATCTCCGATACCCCAGGTTCCATATAGGCCTATTCCTGTTCAAATATAAAAAAGTAAATGAGGCACCTATATTGTTGAAAACTAGCTAACTTAAACATCTAACTGAACGATTGGAGTTTGTATTAATTTAGTGTATCGTTGCAAGATTTATTTTTAAATATAGAATAAGGGTGACAAACGAGCACACAGTCCTAATAGTAAGTGGATGCTGTGGCCCATAGACATCCACATTTATCCTCGATTAATAATCAAAATGCAGATGCGTTGCCACCTCTGAGGACTAAGACGGATTGTCTCGTTTCCAGTAAAAGGGTCTCCGGTTCTCTACACTCAACATACGATACACAGCATTCTGTGAAAATGTGACCCTATCCCGGTCAAGCCGACATATTAAATATTTTTATAACTAATCAATAGAATATATAAAATTAATGATATTAAATTTGTAAATTAAGATATTGCGAACCCCCCAATCTTTGTTACATGCAATCAACTTTTAACCAGTTTTAAATTTGTATGACCGAAATAATCTTTACGATATAGGAGATATTACTAGTATGGGTACTTTTTTCAAAATAAAGATAAATAAAATGAAAATAAATCTATGAACAATAATTAAGTAACGACCGAACCAAAAACCGCCAAAACGCTTAAATCATTAAAATAGCTACTCCTAACGTTGGTATTGGTAGGAAAAACAACTTCAACATTTTCTCAGCAACAATTAAACTGTTACTTTTCATTCTATGAATGAAAAGAAATAAAAATCAGCAATTCTTCACAAAAATGCGGGTTTTTTTTTTAAATGGCGAAGTTAACTCACCAGAAATCATGTTGGTAAGTGCGGGATGTTGGCCGCCTTGCACCTGGCCGAGAGCAGCCGCGTGCGTCATGACCGCCTGCAGCTGAGCGTTGTGTTGCCCGTTCGCACCTGTTGGACGAAATGCAGCCAATATTGTAATTTGCTCCTTGCTGGTTTCGACCACGGCCACTTTGCCACATTTATAAAACTCTTACAAGCATACTCATGCAATAGGATTCTGTAAATAAACTCTCTTCTCTCTCTCTCTCTCTCTCTTTCTCACGTACATATTATGCATCTTATGTATTTTTGTTTCTATTTTTAAAAGTATACATATTGTTTTTCATATTTCTCTAACACAAGCATACTGGAAGAAACTATGAAAAGTATAGCTTAAAGTTTTTGATATATTTTGTTCCCTTAATTTTTTGTTTACATAAATTTTTAAATAAAATAAACTAATAAATAGACCATAAAGAGCGGTAGGGTATACCTACTTAGATGAGTAAACGTAAGATTAAAAAAAACGAAATTTCTAAACTGTCTAAATGCAAACAGAATAATTTTCGCTTATATTGTGGTTCATTTAAGTGAAAATGAGTGTGTGCAGAACAGAAGTTGTTCTTGTGCTGAGGTGAGAGCTGTTACTTAATTTGCGTGTGGGAATTCTAGAATTTTGTCTCTTGTATACTTAAAGTTTTCTGTACGCGATCTGGATCCTATTGCACACCTAAAACACGAAGCAGAGAAGTTGGACTTTGCTGTAGACTAGTCAAGGTCACACTTTTTTGTGTTTTCGTTAGTGTGTCAAGATGAACGTGCCCGTAAGCGTGTGAGTCGAAGCGAAGTATACGTATTTAATTTCGACTTGTTAAGGTCACGCTATTTTGTGTTTTTATTAATGTGTGTGTCAATATGAACGTGGAAGTCGATGCGATACATACTGAGGTGGGCTAGCGCAGAATATGTTGCAGCGTCTAGCTGATGCTGATGCGAGTGGCGCAGCGCTGCCATGTGGGCAGGAGACGTCGGTAGCGACGGCCGCGACTTGCCTGGCGACGGCGAACCTGCAACAATCACAATCACACGTATTGTATTAGTGATTTTTTAATTAACTTGTGATAAAAATTGTGGTAGAATATGTGACATCGTACGGCTTCGCACTGCATCGTACGGAATCGCACGGCATGGTACGGCATGGTACGGCATCGCACGGCATGGTACGGCATCGCACGGCATGTTACGGCATCGCACGGCATGGTACGGCATCGCACGGCATGGTACGGCATCGCACGGCATGGCACGGCATCGCACGGCATGGTACGGCATCGCACGGCATGGCACGGCATCGCACGGCATGGTACGGCATCGCACGGCATGGTACGGCATCGCACGGCATGGTACGGCATGGTACGGCATCGCACGGCATGGTACGGCATCGCACGGCATGGTACGGCATCGCACGGCATGGTACGGCATCGCACGGCATAGTACGGCATCGCACGGCATGGTACGGCATCGCACGGCATTGTACGGCATCGCACGGCATGGTACGGCATCGCACGGCATGGTACGGCATGGTACGGCATCGCACGGCATGGTACGGCATCGCACGGCATGTTACGGCATCGCACGGCATGGTACGGCATCGCACGGCATGGTACGGCATCGCACGGCATGGCACGGCATCGCACGGCATGGTACGGCATCGCACGGCATGGTACGGCATCGCACGGCATGGTACGGCATGGTACGGCATCGCACGGCATTGTACGGCATCGCACGGCATGGTACGGCATCGCACGGCATGGTACGGCATCGCACGGCATGGCACGGCATCGCACGGCATGGTACGGCATCGCACGGCATGGTACGGCATCGCACGGCATGGTACGGCATGGTACGGCATCGCACGGCATTGTACGGCATCGCACGGCATGGTACGGCATCGCACGGCATGGTACGGCATCGCACGGCATGGTACGGCATCGCACGGCATGGTACGGCATCGCACGGCACGGTACGGCATCGCACGGCATAGTACGGCAACGCACGGCATGGTACGGCATCGCACGGCATTGTACGGCATCGCACGGCATTGTACGGCATCGCACGGTATCGCACGGCATTGTACGGCATCGCACGGTATCGCACTGCATCGTACATGTGTTATTCGCGTTTCAGTAGTCTGTTGTGAGAACTGCTCGGTTCGCTCGTTCATTCATTCGGTTTCGATCGAACACAAACAAACATTTCACAGTTTATATAGGTATTTATTGCAGTTTTTTTAGATTAATATTTTGAATAAAATTAACTACTTACTGTTATTAATGCGCAAGATAGTCTTTTACAGTTGCAAGTTGTTACAATTATTATATAAAAAATATAATTGCAATACTTTATAATTTATAATACATATAATAAATACTTTTATCGTTTAATCATTTACGATTGACATGTCTATACGGCATCCTTTCTCGGTCTTTCGGTTAAGATTAAAGTGTAATCAGCCCTTTTCATCTTATCTGAATCTGAAAATCTGGCCACCGGGATGGGTCCACGTAGAACGTAAGAAAAGAAAAAAAAATAGTGATACTGACCTATATAGGCGTGCGGGGAGGTGGTGTGGTTGCTGTGCGTGGGCGAGTGGTTGGAGTATGGCGGCGACAGCGAGGCGCCCAGGCCGCCGCCGTACTGCAGCGTCTGACCCGTCTGCAACGCCAAAATTGCATTCAAATTGCAACTCGATTCTACTAAGTCTAACTACTACTAGTCTAGTAGTACTAGTCTGATTCTACGTAAGTGTAACTAAACAGAATATGTAGTACCGTGTAGCGGTGGTGTAAGACTATTCACTACTCGCTAATACTAGGGTAATGTGGGTGTCGTAAGAGGCGACAGAGGGTCACAAACCGGGGAATGGGCGGCAGCAGCGTCTTCCTAGTAACAACGTAAAATAAAAAAAAATGCGAGTGGCGAATATCCTCCCTATGAGGCAATCTATGGTGGAGGCCTATGTTCAGCAGAGGATTTTTCATAGGCTGTAACGGTAACGATAAAAATACTAGTAGTATAGTAGTACTATAATCCGCAGTGAACTTTTAAAAGACTGTCATTAATAAATCAATGAACCATACAACACATGAGCGCTGTATGTACTTTTTCCCATATTAAGAGAAAAATATCGCACAATAAATAAGGAGGGAATCTTCCATCGTTGTTTAGTTACTCTAGTTACCTTTTTACTGGTAATGAGGCATTTCATCTTTTATTAGTCCACAGTAGTGGCAATGCATCTGCATTTTGATTGATTCAGGGATAAAAATGTGCTTCAGCATTCACTTACCATCAGATGGACTGTGTACCAGTTTGACACCCTTACGTCTATAAAAGAAATGCACGCGATGCACTATGCAAGCACGACCGAATAAAAATCCATCCAAGAATAACCTAAGCATTGTATAGAGACTCGTGATAATAGCATTATCAAATCTGGGCTCGCTGATTTGGCATAGTGATAATGGGCATATTCCATGAAATGCAAATCAAGGAGTGGATTTAAGAATGAAGATAATGAGAGTAACATATGAGATGACGGAATAAGCGTGCCTGCTAAGCGTGACGATTAATGCAATCCTCTCTATAATTGGAGAGGCCCGTGTCTAACAGTGGAATCTTACGAGCTAACGAAGTGTTTAGGACTTAGAAAGAAAAAAATATCGACAATTAAATGGCTTCGGTAAAATACCTTGTAAGGCAGACACGATACCTTGACGCAATCCTCATAGCTGGGCGGTTGCTTGTGCTGTATAAGCTGCTCCATGCCTGGGAATTGCGCCATAGCGTTCGAGTACAGCGACGTCGCGTCGTACGGCGACGGCAAATCCTGTACAATTTAAAGATTATAATTACTTATTTTCATACGTTAACGTCACATCCGGCTCAAAGGACCATGCCGAAAATGTTCTGATTTGTGTTTCTAATTAATAAAAATTCATTACTTCAATTAAAAAAAATAAGTGATTAGCTTTTCGAAAACTATTTAATTGTACTGCCGACAATATCCCAACAAGTATTATTAAATTTGAATATGAGAATATTTATTTTATTAACAATAATAAAAATATAGGATTTAGATTTACCTGTAAATTTTGGAGTGGTGACTCGACAGGACTTAGGCTTGAGCCCAAGCTTTCTATGCTCTGTGGCACCTCTTGCGCCACTTTCTTATTATTCTTTTTTACACTTGGCTTCCTGTTAACAACCATGATGAATTAAAATACAATTACCGATTTTAAACCTGAATGTACCACCATCACAAATAATCGTGTAATAAACATTTTTTTAAATATATTATTATTATTACTTTCTTAGCTAAAAATTTTAAAACACTATGATTACTATGAGTAATGAATGTATAACATTAATAACTCATTAGTAGTAATGAATGTATTGTCAAATCATAAAAAAAATGATGACACATATTAGATATGTACTGATAAATGTAGAGATATTTTTCTGTACTAGTATGTAACCATGATATAAGTGATATAGAGTAAAACTGAGCAAAAAAGAAAAAGTGCGTTACCGTCGAATCTGCGTATGTTGTAGGTTATTGTTGTCGTAGGTTTGCTCCTGTGGACTGTCGGGGCCGGGCTTTGCGCGCGGCTTTTTGGGCTTGCCCTTCGCACTCGCGATCACCGTCGGCTGACTGATCAGCTGCGGATGAGGGTTAGGTGACGCTGCAAAAAGAAAAAGGGTAAAATAAGCAACAAGAAACTAATGACAATATTTTATTTTAGAAAATATACTTAATAATAAAAGTAAGAAAAAATGTTCAGCAGCATGTAGCCACTAAGGGCTAGACAAAGAATAACAAAATTAGTTTGTTGTAGTGATGATTGTGATGAGGAAGCTCATGTGACTGCTTTTAAGTAACCCATAGTCACAGTCTTGTAAGTCTATTGATAGTAATCACAGACATAGCAGGTGTTAGTATGGCAGCAGCACGCAGTGCGACATTACACTAGAGCGCAGTACATTGCGCGGCGGACACTCACGCAGCAGGTGGTGGTGCGGCGGGCGCGGGCAGTGGTCGTCGAGCAGGCGCACGATGTCGTCGTGCATGCGCTCCTGCGCCACGTCGCGCGGCAGCCGGTCCATGTGGTCGGTGATCTCGCGGTTGGGAGCGCGTACATTACACTAGAGCGCAGTACATTGCGCGGCGGACACTCACGCAGCAGGTGGTGGTGCGGCGGGCGCGGGCAGTGGTCGTCGAGCAGGCGCACGATGTCGTCGTGCATGCGCTCCTGCGCCACGTCGCGCGGCAGCCGGTCCATGTGGTCGGTGATCTCGCGGTTGGGAGCGCGTACATTACACTAGAGCGCAGTACATTGCGCGGCGGACACTCACGCAGCAGGTGGTGGTGCGGCGGGCGCGGGCAGTGGTCGTCGAGCAGGCGCACGATGTCGTCGTGCATGCGCTCCTGCGCCACGTCGCGCGGCAGCCGGTCCATGTGGTCGGTGATCTCGCGGTTGGGAGCGCGTACATTACACTAGAGCGCAGTACATTGCGCGGCGGACACTCACGCAGCAGGTGGTGGTGCGGCGGGCGCGGGCAGTGGTCGTCGAGCAGGCGCACGATGTCGTCGTGCATGCGCTCCTGCGCCACGTCGCGCGGCAGCCGGTCCATGTGGTCGGTGATCTCGCGGTTGGGAGCGCGTACATTACACTAGAGCGCAGTACATTGCGCGGCGGACACTCACGCAGCAGGTGGTGGTGCGGCGGGCGCGGGCAGTGGTCGTCGAGCAGGCGCACGATGTCGTCGTGCATGCGCTCCTGCGCCACGTCGCGCGGCAGCCGGTCCATGTGGTCGGTGATCTCGCGGTTGGGAGCGCGTACATTACACTAGAGCGCAGTACATTGCGCGGCGGACACTCACGCAGCAGGTGGTGGTGCGGCGGGCGCGGGCAGTGGTCGTCGAGCAGGCGCACGATGTCGTCGTGCATGCGCTCCTGCGCCACGTCGCGCGGCAGCCGGTCCATGTGGTCGGTGATCTCGCGGTTGGGAGCGCGTACATTACACTAGAGCGCAGTACATTGCGCGGCGGACACTCACGCAGCAGGTGGTGGTGCGGCGGGCGCGGGCAGTGGTCGTCGAGCAGGCGCACGATGTCGTCGTGCATGCGCTCCTGCGCCACGTCGCGCGGCAGCCGGTCCATGTGGTCGGTGATCTCGCGGTTGGGAGCGCGTACATTACACTAGAGCGCAGTACATTGCGCGGCGGACACTCACGCAGCAGGTGGTGGTGCGGCGGGCGCGGGCAGTGGTCGTCGAGCAGGCGCACGATGTCGTCGTGCATGCGCTCCTGCGCCACGTCGCGCGGCAGCCGGTCCATGTGGTCGGTGATCTCGCGGTTGGCGAGCGCGTCCAGCAGCGCCCGGCACGCGCCGTACGATCCCTCGCGAGCGCCCAGGAACAAAGGTGTCTCGTCCTGGCCGCACACGATAATAGGTTAAAATAATGATATTCAAATTTAAGATAATTTAAAAAACTCGAATCGATCATGAACTATGACGGTTCTAGAGAGAATAATCCTGGTGATCCTGATCAGGATACTAGGGATAAAGTTATGAAATTATTGTATTGTCATACGAAATTTCAATCGACCGTCTTCAAGTTGGTGAACAATACATTAAAAGATTCCATTACATAGATAGATAAAAGCAATCCTCGCACGGGTGTTTTCTGGATTTGCAACAGCACCACCTACCGGGTCCAATTGTGAATCTAAATTATTCTCAAATCAACTTAATAACACATACAACCTTTCATCAATATCAGTTCAGCCGTTTAGGAAGAGTTTAATCATATACACACGGACAGATTAATTATATACAGGGTTGTTCTGGAATATACGGCCAAATTTGCAGAAGAGTTTCAGAATAGGTAATATAAGCGAATAGTGAAAAAAATCTCAAACATTTCGGCCTACTTATTTTTTATATTTACAATGTGTGGAAATGTATTATGTTAACTGATTGTCATTCATAAATATGTAAGGCCTACAATTTTATTACGCACACACACATTTCTAAGGGATACCTTTATTTAAATCTGGTAGTATATCAGACCCTGCCAATTTTAGACCAATTTCTGTACTGCCAACATTTAATAAGATTTTTGATAAAATTATTCTTGACCAAATGTTAAATTTTTTAATGTAAATAGTTTACTTCATAAATTACTACTACATTCACAAGGGGTCGCTCGACAACTGATGCTGGTGTTAAGCTGACCGCTAGGTACGTTCGTTCAACCGACCAGCCGACAGTGTTGACTTGACCGTGACCTCATTATGTACGAGTTACTTGTAAATATTCGAACCGCGAATACTATGAAATGGTACATTTTAAGCAATAAAAGTTTACATGGTGCGCAAAGATTAAACAAAAATGGTGTTATTGAAGATTTCCTGAACAATATATTTCTAATGTTACTGAATAATTTTTATTTCCAACACGACGGTGTTTCTTTTAATTAGCGTGCAAAATAATTTAAGGAACGTACTCAGCTGTGCATTAATAGAAACTTGCTATTCTAAGTGCTTATTTTAAGAAAGTGTTATTTTAAGTGATTGCATATTTAAGTTGTATATAGTTGGTTGTTGTAAAAAGTTAATCGTTAAGTAACATTGTTAATAGTTGTAAACACTTGTTTGCAATTTTTTGTCGTCGTCGTTTTTGTTGTCACCGGTTACGTCGTAGAGTTGTAATTTTTTTATTCTATTTATTATGGCGGTCTTAAGTCCGTTTGAAGTATAAAGGAAAATTTAAATTATAATTCGCGTCGCGTGGTTATCAACTTAGTAGCGGCCGTGTCATTAAGGAAGTAAATAGTAGGCAAAAGTTCCGTGGATTGACTGGATTGTAGTTGATGCCCATAAATCACATTCAATTTCGGATATTTTCAAATAAATGTAGAAACTTTATTTATGCGTATTTTTAAAAAGTACAAAAGTGTATATCAGTATTTATATTTTGACCTTAAATATTAAATTTGGCTAGTCTTTGAAAAATAAACTGTATATAACAAAGGTACACGAAGCTAATAAAAGCGTGATAAAAAGTGGGTGACAAGAAGTGATCGAAAAAAATAGTTGCGAAAACCATTACGAAAAGCTTTAGGCTATTTCCTATAACGCTTCCTTACAACACTTAGGTGTTTCTTAATTAGTTAGGCAATTTGTGATTTATTTCACAGATACGCATATAGCAAGTTAAAAAAAAACAAACAAGCACTGTCCTACGCCCTACATTTACCATCGATTAAAAATCAAATTGCAGGTGCGTTTTCTAGTTTTCTACCCACCCTGAGGACTAAACTGGAATGCCTCATTTCCAGTAAAAAGGGTCTCCGATTTTCTGCACTCGCTAAACAAAACACAGCAGCATTGAGCTGCTGATTGACGCATGCTCTTTGACCTCTACTAATATCTTTGTATTAAATCTGTTGCACATGAATATTTATTATGTCTTCGAAAGGCACGGTCTTAATTTCTAATATTATAACTAATTACTAAAAAGTGTTTTGTGAAATATTACGTTAGTCACCTTATCGTCTTGTGCGTCTCGATTTGCGCCATGCACTAACAGTACATTAACGGCGTCGACATTGTTGACAGCGGCTGCCCAGTGTAGTGCAGTTTTGCCACTGTTGTCCGCTGCGTTGATGTCAGCATCGGCATTGATTAGGTCTTCAACCATGCCCTCGATCGCTAGCCTAATTTCGGGAGAAACAATTTAAATTTACAGCATAGTTAAAAAGCGAAGTTTGTTAAGATACAGAGAAAAATAGATTTAACTTTTGGAACAGTATAATACCTTGCAGCAAGAATGAGGGGTGTGGTTCCGTCGTGCATGCGGGCATTTAGATTTGTAGCCCTATTCCTTAGTAAAATCTGGAATACGCCCATGGCATCTGCTGCGACGGCTGAATGCAGCGGCGTCCGTCCCGTGTTGTCCTGAGAGTTCGCGTCCGCTCCGGCGTCCAAGAGCCTCTTCGCAGCATCCGCTCTTGCGTATCTGTTGAAAATGAATATTATATGGTTAGTCGCATTCAAATTAGAAGCGTTTAATATAATTTGTACATATATTTATAATAAACTGTACAGATTGCCTAGATGTATTTTTTCAAATTGCAGAAATATATTTGTACACTACATAGGCCCTCATACATTATGCGTATAGGTCAAGCGACTGATCAGTCTGTATCCGAGATGTCACTATCACCGAGAGTTATTACACTAAATAATGTATCTATGTGTGAGTTTCGTAGTGTGCGCAGATTTCCCCCCGCAAAAAATGATAGACAGTTCTGTATCGTGAAAAAATATTTCGACAGATAATAATTCCTCAAAATATGTATTGATTAAATATATCAAAGGAAAAATGTTATTATAAATTAATTCAATTGGTTGAATATTATTCACGATTAAGTATTAATACAGATCAACGGCATCACGAATTCATCGATAATTTTGTCTTGGCATTCCGAGCCGACGTCCAGCGCACCGTCGCGGATCTAAAGTATTTTTAGTTTGTACTGTACCTGGCGGCGAGGTGCAGGCTGGTCTCGCCGGTCTTGTCCATGGCGGCGTTGAGCTGCGCGCCCTGCGCCACCAGGTCGGAGATGACGTGCGCGGTGTGCTCGTCCTCGGCGTGGGATCCGCGTTGTACTGTACCTGGCGGCGAGGTGCAGGCTGGTCTCGCCGGTCTTGTCCATGGCGGCGTTGAGCTGCGCGCCCTGCGCCACCAGGTCGGAGATGACGTGCGCGGTGTGCTCGTCCTCGGCGTGGGATCCGCGTTGTACTGTACCTGGCGGCGAGGTGCAGGCTGGTCTCGCCGGTCTTGTCCATGGCGGCGTTGAGCTGCGCGCCCTGCGCCACCAGGTCGGAGATGACGTGCGCGGTGTGCTCGTCCTCGGCGTGGGATCCGCGTTGTACTGTACCTGGCGGCGAGGTGCAGGCTGGTCTCGCCGGTCTTGTCCATGGCGGCGTTGAGCTGCGCGCCCTGCGCCACCAGGTCGGAGATGACGTGCGCGGTGTGCTCGTCCTCGGCGTGGGATCCGCGTTGTACTGTACCTGGCGGCGAGGTGCAGGCTGGTCTCGCCGGTCTTGTCCATGGCGGCGTTGAGCTGCGCGCCCTGCGCCACCAGGTCGGAGATGACGTGCGCGGTGTGCTCGTCCTCGGCGTGGGATCCGCGTTGTACTGTACCTGGCGGCGAGGTGCAGGCTGGTCTCGCCGGTCTTGTCCATGGCGGCGTTGAGCTGCGCGCCCTGCGCCACCAGGTCGGAGATGACGTGCGCGGTGTGCTCGTCCTCGGCGTGGGATCCGCGTTGTACTGTACCTGGCGGCGAGGTGCAGGCTGGTCTCGCCGGTCTTGTCCATGGCGGCGTTGAGCTGCGCGCCCTGCGCCACCAGGTCGGAGATGACGTGCGCGGTGTGCTCGTCCTCGGCGTGGGATCCGCGTTGTACTGTACCTGGCGGCGAGGTGCAGGCTGGTCTCGCCGGTCTTGTCCATGGCGGCGTTGAGCTGCGCGCCCTGCGCCACCAGGTCGGAGATGACGTGCGCGGTGTGCTCGTCCTCGGCGTGGGATCCGCGTTGTACTGTACCTGGCGGCGAGGTGCAGGCTGGTCTCGCCGGTCTTGTCCATGGCGGCGTTGAGCTGCGCGCCCTGCGCCACCAGGTCGGAGATGACGTGCGCGGTGTGCTCGTCCTCGGCGTGGGATCCGCGTTGTACTGTACCTGGCGGCGAGGTGCAGGCTGGTCTCGCCGGTCTTGTCCATGGCGGCGTTGAGCTGCGCGCCCTGCGCCACCAGGTCGGAGATGACGTGCGCGGTGTGCTCGTCCTCGGCGTGGGATCCGCGTTGTACTGTACCTGGCGGCGAGGTGCAGGCTGGTCTCGCCGGTCTTGTCCATGGCGGCGTTGAGCTGCGCGCCCTGCGCCACCAGGTCGGAGATGACGTGCGCGGTGTGCTCGTCCTCGGCGTGGGATCCGCGTTGTACTGTACCTGGCGGCGAGGTGCAGGCTGGTCTCGCCGGTCTTGTCCATGGCGGCGTTGAGCTGCGCGCCCTGCGCCACCAGGTCGGAGATGACGTGCGCGGTGTGCTCGTCCTCGGCGTGGGATCCGCGTTGTACTGTACCTGGCGGCGAGGTGCAGGCTGGTCTCGCCGGTCTTGTCCATGGCGGCGTTGAGCTGCGCGCCCTGCGCCACCAGGTCGGAGATGACGTGCGCGGTGTGCTCGTCCTCGGCGTGGGATCCGCGTTGTACTGTACCTGGCGGCGAGGTGCAGGCTGGTCTCGCCGGTCTTGTCCATGGCGGCGTTGAGCTGCGCGCCCTGCGCCACCAGGTCGGAGATGACGTGCGCGGTGTGCTCGTCCTCGGCGTGGGATCCGCGTTGTACTGTACCTGGCGGCGAGGTGCAGGCTGGTCTCGCCGGTCTTGTCCATGGCGGCGTTGAGCTGCGCGCCCTGCGCCACCAGGTCGGAGATGACGTGCGCGGTGTGCTCGTCCTCGGCGTGGGATCCGCGTTGTACTGTACCTGGCGGCGAGGTGCAGGCTGGTCTCGCCGGTCTTGTCCATGGCGGCGTTGAGCTGCGCGCCCTGCGCCACCAGGTCGGAGATGACGTGCGCGGTGTGCTCGTCCTCGGCGTGGGATCCGCGTTGTACTGTACCTGGCGGCGAGGTGCAGGCTGGTCTCGCCGGTCTTGTCCATGGCGGCGTTGAGCTGCGCGCCCTACGCCACCAGGTCGGAGATGACGTGCGCGGTGTGCTCGTCCTCGGCGTGGGATCCGCGTTGTACTGTACCTGGCGGCGAGGTGCAGGCTGGTCTCGCCGGTCTTGTCCATGGCGGCGTTGAGCTGCGCGCCCTGCGCCACCAGGTCGGAGATGACGTGCGCGGTGTGCTCGTCCTCGGCGTGGGATCCGCGTTGTACTGTACCTGGCGGCGAGGTGCAGGCTGGTCTCGCCGGTCTTGTCCATGGCGGCGTTGAGCTGCGCGCCCTGCGCCACCAGGTCGGAGATGACGTGCGCGGTGTGCTCGTCCTCGGCGTGGGATCCGCGTTGTACTGTACCTGGCGGCGAGGTGCAGGCTGGTCTCGCCGGTCTTGTCCATGGCGGCGTTGAGCTGCGCGCCCTGCGCCACCAGGTCGGAGATGACGTGCGCGGTGTGCTCGTCCTCGGCGTGGGATCCGCGTTGTACTGTACCTGGCGGCGAGGTGCAGGCTGGTCTCGCCGGTCTTGTCCATGGCGGCGTTGAGCTGCGCGCCCTGCGCCACCAGGTCGGAGATGACGTGCGCGGTGTGCTCGTCCTCGGCGTGGGATCCGCGTTGTACTGTACCTGGCGGCGAGGTGCAGGCTGGTCTCGCCGGTCTTGTCCATGGCGGCGTTGAGCTGCGCGCCCTGCGCCACCAGGTCGGAGATGACGTGCGCGGTGTGCTCGTCCTCGGCGTGGGATCCGCGTTGTACTGTACCTGGCGGCGAGGTGCAGGCTGGTCTCGCCGGTCTTGTCCATGGCGGCGTTGAGCTGCGCGCCCTGCGCCACCAGGTCGGAGATGACGTGCGCGGTGTGCTCGTCCTCGGCGTGGGATCCGCGTTGTACTGTACCTGGCGGCGAGGTGCAGGCTGGTCTCGCCGGTCTTGTCCATGGCGGCGTTGAGCTGCGCGCCCTGCGCCACCAGGTCGGAGATGACGTGCGCGGTGTGCTCGTCCTCGGCGTGGGATCCGCGTTGTACTGTACCTGGCGGCGAGGTGCAGGCTGGTCTCGCCGGTCTTGTCCATGGCGGCGTTGAGCTGCGCGCCCTGCGCCACCAGGTCGGAGATGACGTGCGCGGTGTGCTCGTCCTCGGCGTGGGATCCGCGTTGTACTGTACCTGGCGGGGAGGTGCAGGCTGGTCTCGCCGGTCTTGTCCATGGCGGCGTTGAGCTGCGCGCCCTGCGCCACCAGGTCGGAGATGACGTGCGCGGTGTGCTCGTCCTCGGCGTGGGATCCGCGTTGTACTGTACCTGGCGGCGAGGTGCAGGCTGGTCTCGCCGGTCTTGTCCATGGCGGCGTTGAGCTGCGCGCCCTGCGCCACCAGGTCGGAGATGACGTGCGCGGTGTGCTCGTCCTCGGCGTGGGATCCGCGTTGTACTGTACCTGGCGGCGAGGTGCAGGCTGGTCTCGCCGGTCTTGTCCATGGCGGCGTTGAGCTGCGCGCCCTGCGCCACCAGGTCGGAGATGACGTGCGCGGTGTGCTCGTCCTCGGCGTGGGATCCGCGTTGTACTGTACCTGGCGGCGAGGTGCAGGCTGGTCTCGCCGGTCTTGTCCATGGCGGCGTTGAGCTGCGCGCCCTGCGCCACCAGGTCGGAGATGACGTGCGCGGTGTGCTCGTCCTCGGCGTGGGATCCGCGTTGTACTGTACCTGGCGGCGAGGTGCAGGCTGGTCTCGCCGGTCTTGTCCATGGCGGCGTTGAGCTGCGCGCCCTGCGCCACCAGGTCGGAGATGACGTGCGCGGTGTGCTCGTCCTCGGCGTGGGATCCGCGTTGTACTGTACCTGGCGGCGAGGTGCAGGCTGGTCTCGCCGGTCTTGTCCATGGCGGCGTTGAGCTGCGCGCCCTGCGCCACCAGGTCGGAGATGACGTGCGCGGTGTGCTCGTCCTCGGCGTGGGATCCGCGTTGTACTGTACCTGGCGGCGAGGTGCAGGCTGGTCTCGCCGGTCTTGTCCATGGCGGCGTTGAGCTGCGCGCCCTGCGCCACCAGGTCGGAGATGACGTGCGCGGTGTGCTCGTCCTCGGCGTGGGATCCGCGTTGTACTGTACCTGGCGGCGAGGTGCAGGCTGGTCTCGCCGGTCTTGTCCATGGCGGCGTTGAGCTGCGCGCCCTGCGCCACCAGGTCGGAGATGACGTGCGCGGTGTGCTCGTCCTCGGCGTGGGATCCGCGTTGTACTGTACCTGGCGGCGAGGTGCAGGCTGGTCTCGCCGGTCTTGTCCATGGCGGCGTTGAGCTGCGCGCCCTGCGCCACCAGGTCGGAGATGACGTGCGCGGTGTGCTCGTCCTCGGCGTGGGATCCGCGTTGTACTGTACCTGGCGGCGAGGTGCAGGCTGGTCTCGCCGGTCTTGTCCATGGCGGCGTTGAGCTGCGCGCCCTGCGCCACCAGGTCGGAGATGACGTGCGCGGTGTGCTCGTCCTCGGCGTGGGATCCGCGTTGTACTGTACCTGGCGGCGAGGTGCAGGCTGGTCTCGCCGGTCTTGTCCATGGCGGCGTTGAGCTGCGCGCCCTGCGCCACCAGGTCGGAGATGACGTGCGCGGTGTGCTCGTCCTCGGCGTGGGATCCGCGTTGTACTGTACCTGGCGGCGAGGTGCAGGCTGGTCTCGCCGGTCTTGTCCATGGCGGCGTTGAGCTGCGCGCCCTGCGCCACCAGGTCGGAGATGACGTGCGCGGTGTGCTCGTCCTCGGCGTCGGAGCCGGCGTCCAGCGCGCCGCCGCGGATGGCCGCCACCATCAGCGGCGTCATGCCCAGCGGCCCACGTGCGTTCACGTCCGCGTGCCCGTCGTGCTGTCACCACACAAACGCAATACAATTACAAACCTTTTACATCACTTCTTAACAGTCTACCATAATTCAAAGGTACATAGGCCTTCCCCATAGTGAGCCATAGTTACCACGATTGACAAACGGGTTAGTATTTTTTTAGCAGCATTTAAGCCGGCCACATACATACGGAATTCTGTTTCGGGATTCCGTTTCGAAATTCCGATTCGAGATTACGAACGCAGCAAGTTCAATTAAAATCTATGATTCATCACACACGTACGGTAGTTTTCCGTTCGAAATTTTGCGGGCAAAACAGGATTCCGTATGTGTGTGGCCGACCCTTTCGGAATTCCGAAACGGAATTCCATATGTATGTGGCGGGCCTAACATAACATTAGTAGATATTATAATTTTGGTACCTAATGTAGTACCGTGTATTGGTAATGTAAGAATATTCACCACCCCATATCATCCCGTGGGTGTCGTAAGAAGCGACTAAGGGAAACAAATCAGGAGATGGGCAGCAGTGTCTTTCTAACAACGACTTAAAATAAAAATAAACTTCTGTTACCAACCCGCTTGCTAAGCGTGACAACTATGACAAATATCCTCCCTATGAGGTAAACTATGGGAGAGGCCTACGTTCGGCAGTGGATTTTAATAGGCTGGAACGGTACGGTAACAGTAGGCTAATGTAATTGTTACGTTATAATGCGTGTATTAGAATAAATATGTATTCATGTATTAATTTTATAGTGTACGATGTACGTGGAATGTGAGAATGGAGAGCCGTGTATATGAATGTTGAGAAGCCCTCACACTTACAGAGATACAGAATTGTTATCAGGAAGATGCTGAACCCCATCTCCTGTTTGAATTTCCGTCTATCGCTCTTACCATACTAACGTGATGATATATAATAGTGGACACTACACAGTGAACAGTTTGATCAAACTATACGGAATTATGAATTTTTTACTTATTCGCGTGACAATTATTTTTAAAAATCCAAAGAATTTAAAAAACAACTTTGGCGCACTGAACATAATTATTCGAAGACACATAATCCATTTGATAATGTTCGCCGTAAGAAAGCAATGAAGAAATTCATTACTCTTCGTCCTATGGATGTCGTAAGGAACGACTGTGTCAATAACAAAAAGATATCGTAGCCTCTAATTGATGACTGTTTTACGACGTCACTTATTTAATACGTAAAATACCTATATTGTTAAATAGAACCAGCGTCAAAGGTGCGAATTTCTGGCATTGCGATCTTTAAACTACAAGCCCAAGCATGGGGACTATAGCAAATCTTCTCTACAGTATGAGAGGCACATGTCCAGAAGTAGACCTTTGAAGGCTGATGAATAAGAAAAGGAAGAAACGAGTGTTACTTACGATTGCTGGAGGAGTCATCATACTCGGTGGTACCCGTATATCTGCCGCGTCCAAGTGCGGCTGCGTCCATACTCTCGAATCGTGACCAGCCTCCTCGTAATCCGTGATTGCCGTATGATCTGAAGCATAACCTCCAGGAGCACCATTAGCATCCCCTGGACCTCGCGCTCTCTTAGCCCTTGGTGGTGCTGAGCCATCGTCGTCCTCATCCGACCAATGCGGCGGTCCCATATGCCCACCATTGATGTCCACATCAATACAACCCATAGATCCTTTGTTCAAATTTCTCATTTCCTGGCCATCGGGACCTCGGCGTCTAGAGCGCCTTCTTGTCGAGGAATTATTTCGGATGAAGCCTTCGGGGAACCAAGTTATGCCAGCAGCACGTTTTCTTTGCGCAGTCACTAGAACTCCGATCAGTAAGCCAGCGAGCAGGACTAGAATAACACCGATAAAAACGTACTTGGAGTTTGTTGGTAACTCTCCAGGGCTATCTGGTGTTGTGACTCCCTTCACTTGGAAGATCGGGAAGTCAGGTGACAACGAATGCTTAGAAGCGGTGGCTGCTAAGAAATCAGCGGCTTCACGAGTGGAGAAGAAGCACTCGGCTCCGGATATTGCCGAGCATTTTCTGTTGTCAAGTTCTAGGTACACTTGAACACCTGACTGGCCCCTTTCGGTATAGACAATCTGATGTTTCTTTCCAAACTCGGTGTCTTGAAGACCGACGTCTGCCGCTCCTTTCCACGGGTACACCATATCGTTGCCGAGATGGTCTTTCTTGATCACTACAGTTGTTCTTAGCTGGTGGCCCAAGTCTCGTAAGAACGCCACCGAGTTCTCTTTGAACGTTCGCACGTCCATGAGCAAGATGACGGACATGACACCTTCAGCAAGGTCTGGGGGTTCGTTCTCGCAGTCAAGGCCGTCCCAGTTACACTCCGCGTTGTTGCATCCGTAATCGCAGTGGCCGTTCGCATAGTGTTTCTGGCAATATGCGTCGTAGATGGGGTTGCAACGTTGCAGCGACTTCTGACAGTCCCTTCCGTCGAATAAGCAAGCTTGCGTGTTACACACTTCATTGCACTCCCCGTTCATAAATACTTCCCAGCATTTTATTGGCGCTGTGCAATTCGCCCAAGGGTTAATGCCGAGGGAGCAATCGTTTCCGTCAAATTCGCATGCATATGTATTACATTCTTCGTCGCAGTGGTGGTCGGACTGCTTCTCCTTACAGCCCAACTTCACGCACTGTTCCCTTTGGAATGCCAGATCCAACTCTTGCAATGTCAAACCCGGATTTTTATTATAAACCCCCGAAACGGGACTGCCGTATCCGCCTCTAGAGTGGGGGTCGAAGATATCGCAGTTCTTTCCAGTCCATTGCCTTGGACAGTAGCAGAGGAAGTCGCCGGGTTTGTCTATGCATCGGGCTTCCGGATGTTTGCACGGGTTACTAAGACATTCATTCATAGAGTCAATCTCACAGTTGATACCGGACAATCCGGATGGGCAGTCGCAGATGTAGTCTCCAATTTCCGACGTCCGGCAATAGCCTCCGTTCTGGCACGGATTTGAGTCGCATGCGTAACCTGAATACTCGCAATTCTTTCCGTAGAATCCGTCATTGCATAAACATTCGTGTCCTCCTTGTATCGCTGTGCAAATACCGCCATTTTGGCAAGGCGAGTTTGCGCAGAAGTTTACTTTGGCGTCGCAATGCCTTCCCATAAATCCAGGTTTACAATTACAGTGGTAATCGTTGACTAATTGGACGCAATCCTGCGTGCCGGGGTTCGAGCACGGGTTGGAGAGGCATTCGTTGATATCGCCCTCACATCTCGGTCCGACGAAACCTGGGGGGCATTTGCACTCGAACCCGCCGACTTTGTCTATACACGTGCCGTTGTTGTGACACGCGTCCTGTTTGCAGTCATTTACGTTTATCTCACAGATCTTCCCGAGAGTTCCAAAGGGGCAGGAGCAGGAGAAGTTGTTGATCAGATCGTGGCAGGTTCCTCCGTTCTGGCACGGGTTAGGGAGGCAGTCGTTGACGTTCAGCTCGCAGTTCTGTCCTTGGAATCCCTTGGCGCATTGGCACTGGTAAGTTCCTACGAGGTCCTTGCACAGGGCTCCATTCTGACAAGGCGCGGAGTCACACTCGTTGATCTCCTTCTGGCAGTAGGACCCGGTGTAGCCGTCCAGACAGTGGCAGCGGTGTGAGTTACCGATGTCCTCACAAGTACCGTTGTTGCACAGTTGTTTCATTTTGACACCTAAGAGGAAAACATTTTTTAAATAAAATGAGATTTAATAATGATAAATGGTTTACAAGAACATCAAATATACGTTTTTATACATATTTATACCAGGAAGGGAATTTAAAACTATAAAAACAACAGAAAAAAAATCAATAGATCCACACAACAACATATACACTGTTATGCTGTTGTGTGGACCTGCATCCACGCTTGTAAAGTGGCAAGTCCCACCGATCAACGAATACCCCAAGGATGCTGTTGGTACTGTTCCGCAAACGGGTCAGCGCGGAGGCACACTGCCTTCTAACTACTTATTACATCTACCTAACTTATTACATTATATTCGAAAGATACTGTGCCACAGACATGGGGAAATATATGTGTGTATGTGGGTCATCAAGGCAATTAAAATAATGTGAACTTACACACATGATTTTTTTATACGAAATGCTTTAACCAATTAAATGGTCGAATTATCACCAAATGCGGTACAAGTTTTCCTTGATTTTAGTTCGCTAATGATATATAAACAATTTTTGCAATTTTTGTCTATGAACTTTGATAGTTTGTCATGATAATGTTGAATTATTGCAACATAAAGTTGCCTCACAAGGTTGTGCTCGCCATAGTTACCACGCTTAGCAGGCAGGTTGGCTACAAGATTGGAAGATGCCATTAGGCTACTGATGCTTCCTAATTAGGATGAAATGCCTCGTAAGAGGCTTCCGACTTGATGTACAGAAAAAAGGGTTGGCAGAGGTGCAAAATACAAAGAGACATTGGTTGCTCCCTATTTCAGGCTCGTCTACATAATGTCATATTTTTCTTGTATAATATATTTTTAGGCATTACTGTGGGCCAATGTTCTAAATGTTTACGTCCGTGTTTCCTGAAATAAAGTTATTGCATTGTAGAGGTGGGGGAGGGGGGAGGGGGGAGGGGGTTGTCTCACCTTTCCTGAGCGCGGCGTCGTTGCAGGAGACCATCTGCACGTCGCACAGCTTGCCGGCCCAGCCGGGCGCGCAGGCGCAGGCGTACTGCGCGCCGGACTGCGAGCACGTGGCGCCGTTCTCGCACGGACGGTTCTCGCACCTGCGCACGCGGCGGAGTGCCGTTACTTATATTTTAAGTTCGATATACTTTTACGCCTACCTTTTAAAAACTTTCATTTTAACCCAATATAGTCCAGAGGTACTGCATTACTACCTGTAACTACGTGTTTTATTTGTCATTTCATTTGTGAATTTAAGGTAATTAGGTACACAGACATTTATTGCATAAAATGTCAGATGAATTACGAAGTGATCAAATATTTTCATACTGAAAATAACACTCTGCCCTTACATATTCAGTGTTATTTTGCAATAACCGGCCAAATTTGCAGAAGAGGTTTAGAATAGGTAATATAAGCGAATGGAAAAAAAATATATAAGAAAAAGCCTCAATTTGTCCTTTTTATCTTTTATATTCAAAACGTGTGGAAATGGATTATTTTAAATGACGTCATTCATAAATATGTAGCGCCTACAATTTTATTAGCACGCACACATTCGTAATAGAGTGTTGAATTCGGAAGCAGTCGGCAGCGTTCGGCCACTTCGGTCTCGCGCTTGGTTACAGATTTAGCACGTCTCCCCGCCCTTTCCCTTCCGTAAGCCGTAATGTACGTTCATCCGTCCCCCGGCACCAGGATGGGATCCCCAACTAACAGTGTTCGCTTGACCATGACCTCATTACGTACCAGTGTCCAGTGTTTATTAAAATTTCGTAGATAAGTTTCACAACGAAAATATTCGAACCGCGAATACTATGAAATGTTACGACGCGTTTTAAGCAATGAAAGTTTACGCGGTGCGCAAAGATTATAAGAAAGTGGGTCTTTACCGTGTTTGCAAGAACAAGGAAATAACGCACAGGTCCACCCAATCGGAGTAAAATTTTGAAGACTGGACACCACTCCATCACATAGAAGTGTTCAAAATGTTCATTCAATAATAAGCCCGGCTGTCGAAAACGAAGTGATCGAGTTTTTCGAGCGAAACCAACGCGCTAGCACCGATGATGCAGCTCGAGAATTCAGAATTAGCCAGTACGTGTGAAAATTACTGAATTCTTTTGGATATCACCCATTTCATTATCAACGTGTGCAATCACTGAATAATAACGAAAACATTTTTGTAAATGGCTTGTGTTATTTTAAGTGATTGCATATTTAGGTTGTAAATAGTTCTTTGTTGTAATAACTTTATCGTTTTAAATTGATAATAGTTGTAAATATTATATTTTTATATTATCAAATTTTGATTCCAATTTTTTAAATACGCCATAATAAAGACAGTCATCAGTTGTCTGTGGCGTCATGCAATTTTTGTCAGTTTTCATTCAGTTTATAGAACGCAAAGTTTTAAACGCCCACAACGCTAGACGCCACGCTCCCGCCGCCTAAGTTATTTAAATCACGCCAACCATCATCGGCTTCAACTATCTTTTTTATTACTAATTGTTTACATTTATTCTCCATCTATTTCCCTCGCGCTGTAGTCTAAACTTGTTTTTCGAACTGTCTTTTGTGTGGGAGTAAAAACTAATATTTAATTTGAGAATTGTAGAACTTTTTATTAACATAGCATCCATCCCACACGTCGTTGAAATGTAAAACTTTAAATTTAATTTATTATGGCGGTCTTAAGCCCGTTTAAAAGTATGAAGGGAAAATTGGAATCACAATTCGGGCCGCGTAGTTATCGACTTAGTAGCGAGCGTGTAATTAAGGAAGTAATTAGTAGACAAAAGCTCCATGCATTGGCTCGTACACACACGAGCGCGCGCGTACCCTATAGCGTACGCCAATCAACCTTAAACCTACAAGGAGAAAGAAACCGCAGTACAGTCTTAGAAATCCTAACTAATTTTCCGTATGCTGGTCCTCTTTATTCTTTTCAAAGAGAAAACGGGAACTTTTGGAAAACAGAGACTCGACAATAAATTACATTCAGGTCACGCAAAATTTAAAACAAATTATATATCTGATAAGTTCATAAGAAGACAAAGAAAAAATACCAGTCAACATATGCTTCACAGTGCTTCCCGGTATATCCGTAGGGACAGTGGCAAGTGTAGAACGTGACGTGATCATGGCAGGTGGCGCCGTTGTCGCACGGAGAGCTGTCGCACATGTTGATGCGGAACTGGCAGTTCGAACCCGTGTACCTGTAGGAGATAATAAAAATGTAATAAATATAAACTTAATAACAGAAAAAGAGGGTATACAAGCACTTTTTAGTTGCTGAAACAAAATTTATATAGTAATTTTATTTGTTACAAAAAGGTTACACCATCATTACAGTTCGACCAAGACAACGCTTTCACAAAAAGAAATATATGAGCTAAACTGCCCACGTGATGGCCAATTTGTTGGCCTATATCGCTCTGCGGGTGTCATAAAAGACAATATCGGGCGAAAATTGTAATCAAACAAACCAGATGAGTATTTTTGTGCCGCGGTGTACTTATTAAAAGCCTCTTTCGGCAATTTACCTTCTACCCTCACTTCTAGTTCAAACATAGTCATGTTAATTCTTAATTGTATTACTTACCCAGGTGGACATGAGCAGTTATAAGAGTTGATGCCATCGATACAGGTGCCTCCATTCATGCAGCTGGATTCCGTGCAGTCCTCGTCGTTGGTCTGACAGTTGATCCCGGAGAAACCCAGCGGACACGTGCAAGTGTACGACGCCACATACTGTCGAAAATAATATGTAGGTAGTTGAATATTTTTTTTAAACTAAAGATCGAATCGTGCCAATGCAGAAGCGTAACATGCGCCCATACACGCATCTTGCACTAAATGATAGTCATTTGATGTCATCTGAGCTACTACTATTCCATTTAATTTAAATAATAATATCTTAATATTTTTACTGTGTACAATATATGGAAGACCGGTACTTGAAGGAAGACCGGTACTTGAAGTCCTTCAGAGGCTCTTTAATTCCGTCCTCCATGGTGGCATTACACCGGAGGCGTGGAGCAGAAGTGCGGTGGTCTTGTTCTTCAAGAAAGGTGACAACGCTCTCTTGAAGAACTACAGAGCGATTTCCCTTCTGAGCCGCGTCTACGTGCTGTTTTCGAGTCATTAAAAATCATCTTGCGCGCAGACTTGACGACTTCCAGCCTCCCGAACAAGCCGGTTTCCGAAAGGGCTTTAGCACTATAGACCACATACATACCCTTCGGCAAATTGTACAGAAGTCCAAAGAGTACAATTTGCCACTATGTCTGGCGTATGTGGACTATGAGAAAGCCTTTGATTCCGTCGAAATTTGGGCGGTGCTGCAGTCCCTTCAGCGGTGCCAAGTTGACTGTCGGGATATCGAAGTGCTGAAGTGTTTGTACAGTAGAGCTACCATGGCTATCCGAGTACAGAACCAGAGTACAAAACCTATCCAATTGCAGAGAGGTGTAAGACAGGGTGACGTTATATCCCCGAAACTCTTCACCGCTGCATTGGAAGACGTTTTCAAGCTTCTGGACTGGAAAGGATACGGTATTAACATCAATGGCGAGTACATCACTCACCTTCTATTTGCCGACGATATAGTCCTTATGGCAGAATCGCTGGAGGACCTAAGCACCATGCTCAATGACCTCAATAGTGTCTCCCAACGAATAGGTCTAAGGATGAACATGGACAAAACAAAGATCATGTTTAATGTCCATGTCACACCTATGCCGATAGCTGTTGGGAGCACTAAGCTCGAAGTTGTTGACGAGTATGTTTACCTGGGACAAATAGTCCGACTAGGTAAGTCCAACTTCGACCGAGAGGTCAATCGACGGATTTAACTCGGCTGGGCAGCGTTCGGGAAACTACGACACATCTTCTCGTCAGACATACCTCAAAACCTTAAAACGAAATTATACAACCAGTGCGTGTTGCCAGTGATGACTTACGGAACTGATACGTGGTCCTTCACTGCTGGCCGTATGAGGAAGCTCAAGGTCGTTTAGCGAGCTATGGAGAGGGCTATGCTCGAGGTTTCTCTGCGTGATACTTAGAAATTAGTATATCCGCAGTAGAACCAGAGTAACCGACATAGCTCAACGGATTAGTAAGCTGAAGTGGCAGTGGGCCGGCCATATAGCTCGAAGAACCGATAACCAATGGGGAAGAAAGGTTCTTGAGTGGCAGCCTCGTACCGGTAGGCGAAGTGTAGGTCGGCCCTCCACGAGATGGAGTGACGACCTGGTGAGACATGCAGGAAGTCGATGGATGCAGGTGGCTCAGGACCGTCCTTTGTGGCATTCCTTGGGGGAGGCCTATGTTCAGCAGTGGACTTATGAAAGGCTGTAATGATAATGATGATGACAATATATGGACAATAATATTTGGACCGACGCTACATGTTATTATGGCTGCAGCATGGCTTGTAGAAGTGGCATAGCAGAAGCTTTTAGTAAGGAAATGCTAGAAACATCACATGTGGTTGGATACAGGACAGTAGAATCACTTCGCATGTAGCAGATATATATCCAGACTGACGATGAGCAACAGCGTTAAAGTTCTGAGACGTCTGGTATAGCGATATTCAATCCGTATAGCAAATACTCTTTGCTGATGAAGAAAAAAAAGATAAAATTAAAAAGTACAGAATATGCTGAAGTTATTGATTAAAAACATTCAGTACCTGATTACACGTAGCTCCATTCATGCATGGCCTCGACTGGCACTCGTCTATGTCGATCTCACAATGTTTGCCAGCGAACCCGCTCGCACACACGCAGTTGTAGTCGCCGATGCTGTCCAAACACGTAGCGCCATTTTGGCATGGAACTGCAGAGGATATATAATATGAATATAACATTACGTAGGTTATAAGAATGTAAGGTAAATATAATGTATTATTAAGGTACAAAATAATTTTAAAGATATTTAGCAATAGATGTATTATTGGTTTCCGCACAACAGAATAATGTCATATCCGTATATGTAGATAGTTTTATACACGTATATGAACATAACGTTATACAGCCAAGAAAAGACGTTCCATCGAAATGTAGATTAAATCGTTTACACTTTCAAGGGTGACTCTTGTTCATCTTGTTCTTTTGAATTCGGAGAAGTTAGCGAAGAATTGCCTTAATCGCCGCGCTTATTAGTATTGCCGACTATAGTACCAGTCGTCTCACTCCTTTGAGCGTACTCTCCGAAGTCACGCTCGGTATCTTATATTTGGTACATGCAGGGGTGGGTATACCATCATTTATTAGAAGCCATGAGCTCTTTAAGAATTTTCCTGTAATATTAATATCACCCATGGTACGAAATAGTGATGAATTTTGTTGTATCTACTACTACTAACAGTCGGTCATCAAAACCGTCTAGTCGCGGCCCTCGTAGCCGCGCGCGCACAGGCAGGCGTAGGAGCCGGCGCTGTTGAGGCGGTGGGTATGTAGTGCGCAGTGCGCAGGGCGCAGTGCGCAACGGGTACGTACAGGAGGCGCAGTCGTCGGTGTTGACGGCGCAGTCGCGGCCCTCGTAGCCGCGCGCGCACAGGCAGGCGTAGGAGCCGGCGCTGTTGAGGCGGTGGGTATGTAGTGCGCAGTGCGCAGGGCGCAGTGCGCAACGGGTACGTACAGGAGGCGCAGTCGTCGGTGTTGACGGCGCAGTCGCGGCCCTCGTAGCCGCGCGCGCACAGGCAGGCGTAGGAGCCGGCGCTGTTGAGGCGGTGGGTATGTAGTGCGCAGTGCGCAGGGCGCAGTGCGCAACGGGTACGTACAGGAGGCGCAGTCGTCGGTGTTGACGGCGCAGTCGCGGCCCTCGTAGCCGCGCGCGCACAGGCAGGCGTAGGAGCCGGCGCTGTTGAGGCGGTGGGTATGTAGTGCGCAGTGCGCAGGGCGCAGTGCGCAACGGGTACGTACAGGAGGCGCAGTCGTCGGTGTTGACGGCGCAGTCGCGGCCCTCGTAGCCGCGCGCGCACAGGCAGGCGTAGGAGCCGGCGCTGTTGAGGCGGTGGGTAGGTAGTGCGCAGTGCGCAGTGCGCAGTGCGCAGCGGGTACGTGCAGGAGGCGCAGTCGTCGGTGTTGACGGCGCAGTCGCGGCCCTCGTAGCCGCGCGCGCACAGGCAGGCGTAGGAGCCGGCGCTGTTGAGGCGGTGGGTATGTAGTGCGCAGTGCGCAGGGCGCAGTGCGCAACGGGTACGTACAGGAGGCGCAGTCGTCGGTGTTGACGGCGCAGTCGCGGCCCTCGTAGCCGCGCGCGCACAGGCAGGCGTAGGAGCCGGCGCTGTTGAGGCGGTGGGTAGGTAGTGCGCAGTGCGCAGTGCGCAGTGCGCAGCGGGTACGTGCAGGAGGCGCAGTCGTCGGTGTTGACGGCGCAGTCGCGGCCCTCGTAGCCGCGCGCGCACAGGCAGGCGTAGGAGCCGGCGCTGTTGAGGCGGTGGGTATGTAGTGCGCAGTGCGCAGGGCGCAGTGCGCAACGGGTACGTACAGGAGGCGCAGTCGTCGGTGTTGACGGCGCAGTCGCGGCCCTCGTAGCCGCGCGCGCACAGGCAGGCGTAGGAGCCGGCGCTGTTGAGGCGGTGGGTATGTAGTGCGCAGTGCGCAGGGCGCAGTGCGCAACGGGTACGTACAGGAGGCGCAGTCGTCGGTGTTGACGGCGCAGTCGCGGCCCTCGTAGCCGCGCGCGCACAGGCAGGCGTAGGAGCCGGCGCTGTTGAGGCGGTGGGTATGTAGTGCGCAGTGCGCAGGGCGCAGTGCGCAACGGGTACGTACAGGAGGCGCAGTCGTCGGTGTTGACGGCGCAGTCGCGGCCCTCGTAGCCGCGCGCGCACAGGCAGGCGTAGGAGCCGGCGCTGTTGAGGCGGTGGGTATGTAGTGCGCAGTGCGCAGGGCGCAGTGCGCAACGGGTACGTACAGGAGGCGCAGTCGTCGGTGTTGACGGCGCAGTCGCGGCCCTCGTAGCCGCGCGCGCACAGGCAGGCGTAGGAGCCGGCGCTGTTGAGGCGGTGGGTATGTAGTGCGCAGTGCGCAGGGCGCAGTGCGCAACGGGTACGTACAGGAGGCGCAGTCGTCGGTGTTGACGGCGCAGTCGCGGCCCTCGTAGCCGCGCGCGCACAGGCAGGCGTAGGAGCCGGCGCTGTTGAGGCGGTGGGTATGTAGTGCGCAGTGCGCAGGGCGCAGTGCGCAACGGGTACGTACAGGAGGCGCAGTCGTCGGTGTTGACGGCGCAGTCGCGGCCCTCGTAGCCGCGCGCGCACAGGCAGGCGTAGGAGCCGGCGCTGTTGAGGCGGTGGGTATGTAGTGCGCAGTGCGCAGGGCGCAGTGCGCAACGGGTACGTACAGGAGGCGCAGTCGTCGGTGTTGACGGCGCAGTCGCGGCCCTCGTAGCCGCGCGCGCACAGGCAGGCGTAGGAGCCGGCGCTGTTGAGGCGGTGGGTATGTAGTGCGCAGTGCGCAGGGCGCAGTGCGCAACGGGTACGTACAGGAGGCGCAGTCGTCGGTGTTGACGGCGCAGTCGCGGCCCTCGTAGCCGCGCGCGCACAGGCAGGCGTAGGAGCCGGCGCTGTTGAGGCGGTGGGTATGTAGTGCGCAGTGCGCAGGGCGCAGTGCGCAACGGGTACGTACAGGAGGCGCAGTCGTCGGTGTTGACGGCGCAGTCGCGGCCCTCGTAGCCGCGCGCGCACAGGCAGGCGTAGGAGCCGGCGCTGTTGAGGCGGTGGGTATGTAGTGCGCAGTGCGCAGGGCGCAGTGCGCAACGGGTACGTACAGGAGGCGCAGTCGTCGGTGTTGACGGCGCAGTCGCGGCCCTCGTAGCCGCGCGCGCACAGGCAGGCGTAGGAGCCGGCGCTGTTGAGGCGGTGGGTATGTAGTGCGCAGTGCGCAGGGCGCAGTGCGCAACGGGTACGTACAGGAGGCGCAGTCGTCGGTGTTGACGGCGCAGTCGCGGCCCTCGTAGCCGCGCGCGCACAGGCAGGCGTAGGAGCCGGCGCTGTTGAGGCGGTGGGTATGTAGTGCGCAGTGCGCAGGGCGCAGTGCGCAACGGGTACGTACAGGAGGCGCAGTCGTCGGTGTTGACGGCGCAGTCGCGGCCCTCGTAGCCGCGCGCGCACAGGCAGGCGTAGGAGCCGGCGCTGTTGAGGCGGTGGGTATGTAGTGCGCAGTGCGCAGGGCGCAGTGCGCAACGGGTACGTACAGGAGGCGCAGTCGTCGGTGTTGACGGCGCAGTCGCGGCCCTCGTAGCCGCGCGCGCACAGGCAGGCGTAGGAGCCGGCGCTGTTGAGGCGGTGGGTATGTAGTGCGCAGTGCGCAGGGCGCAGTGCGCAACGGGTACGTACAGGAGGCGCAGTCGTCGGTGTTGACGGCGCAGTCGCGGCCCTCGTAGCCGCGCGCGCACAGGCAGGCGTAGGAGCCGGCGCTGTTGAGGCGGTGGGTATGTAGTGCGCAGTGCGCAGGGCGCAGTGCGCAACGGGTACGTACAGGAGGCGCAGTCGTCGGTGTTGACGGCGCAGTCGCGGCCCTCGTAGCCGCGCGCGCACAGGCAGGCGTAGGAGCCGGCGCTGTTGAGGCGGTGGGTATGTAGTGCGCAGTGCGCAGGGCGCAGTGCGCAACGGGTACGTACAGGAGGCGCAGTCGTCGGTGTTGACGGCGCAGTCGCGGCCCTCGTAGCCGCGCGCGCACAGGCAGGCGTAGGAGCCGGCGCTGTTGAGGCGGTGGGTAGGTAGTGCGCAGTGCGCAGTGCGCAGTGCGCAGCGGGTACGTGCAGGAGGCGCAGTCGTCGGTGTTGACGGCGCAGTCGCGGCCCTCGTAGCCGCGCGCGCACAGGCAGGCGTAGGAGCCGGCGCTGTTGAGGCGGTGGGTATGTAGTGCGCAGTGCGCAGGGCGCAGTGCGCAACGGGTACGTACAGGAGGCGCAGTCGTCGGTGTTGACGGCGCAGTCGCGGCCCTCGTAGCCGCGCGCGCACAGGCAGGCGTAGGAGCCGGCGCTGTTGAGGCGGTGGGTAGGTAGTGCGCAGTGCGCAGTGCGCAGTGCGCAGCGGGTACGTGCAGGAGGCGCAGTCGTCGGTGTTGACGGCGCAGTCGCGGCCCTCGTAGCCGCGCGCGCACAGGCAGGCGTAGGAGCCGGCGCTGTTGAGGCGGTGGGTATGTAGTGCGCAGTGCGCAGGGCGCAGTGCGCAACGGGTACGTACAGGAGGCGCAGTCGTCGGTGTTGACGGCGCAGTCGCGGCCCTCGTAGCCGCGCGCGCACAGGCAGGCGTAGGAGCCGGCGCTGTTGAGGCGGTGGGTATGTAGTGCGCAGTGCGCAGGGCGCAGTGCGCAACGGGTACGTACAGGAGGCGCAGTCGTCGGTGTTGACGGCGCAGTCGCGGCCCTCGTAGCCGCGCGCGCACAGGCAGGCGTAGGAGCCGGCGCTGTTGAGGCGGTGGGTATGTAGTGCGCAGTGCGCAGGGCGCAGTGCGCAACGGGTACGTACAGGAGGCGCAGTCGTCGGTGTTGACGGCGCAGTCGCGGCCCTCGTAGCCGCGCGCGCACAGGCAGGCGTAGGAGCCGGCGCTGTTGAGGCGGTGGGTATGTAGTGCGCAGTGCGCAGGGCGCAGTGCGCAACGGGTACGTACAGGAGGCGCAGTCGTCGGTGTTGACGGCGCAGTCGCGGCCCTCGTAGCCGCGCGCGCACAGGCAGGCGTAGGAGCCGGCGCTGTTGAGGCGGTGGGTATGTAGTGCGCAGTGCGCAGGGCGCAGTGCGCAACGGGTACGTACAGGAGGCGCAGTCGTCGGTGTTGACGGCGCAGTCGCGGCCCTCGTAGCCGCGCGCGCACAGGCAGGCGTAGGAGCCGGCGCTGTTGAGGCGGTGGGTATGTAGTGCGCAGTGCGCAGGGCGCAGTGCGCAACGGGTACGTACAGGAGGCGCAGTCGTCGGTGTTGACGGCGCAGTCGCGGCCCTCGTAGCCGCGCGCGCACAGGCAGGCGTAGGAGCCGGCGCTGTTGAGGCGGTGGGTATGTAGTGCGCAGTGCGCAGGGCGCAGTGCGCAACGGGTACGTACAGGAGGCGCAGTCGTCGGTGTTGACGGCGCAGTCGCGGCCCTCGTAGCCGCGCGCGCACAGGCAGGCGTAGGAGCCGGCGCTGTTGAGGCGGTGGGTATGTAGTGCGCAGTGCGCAGGGCGCAGTGCGCAACGGGTACGTACAGGAGGCGCAGTCGTCGGTGTTGACGGCGCAGTCGCGGCCCTCGTAGCCGCGCGCGCACAGGCAGGCGTAGGAGCCGGCGCTGTTGAGGCGGTGGGTATGTAGTGCGCAGTGCGCAGGGCGCAGTGCGCAACGGGTACGTACAGGAGGCGCAGTCGTCGGTGTTGACGGCGCAGTCGCGGCCCTCGTAGCCGCGCGCGCACAGGCAGGCGTAGGAGCCGGCGCTGTTGAGGCGGTGGGTATGTAGTGCGCAGTGCGCAGGGCGCAGTGCGCAACGGGTACGTACAGGAGGCGCAGTCGTCGGTGTTGACGGCGCAGTCGCGGCCCTCGTAGCCGCGCGCGCACAGGCAGGCGTAGGAGCCGGCGCTGTTGAGGCGGTGGGTATGTAGTGCGCAGTGCGCAGGGCGCAGTGCGCAACGGGTACGTACAGGAGGCGCAGTCGTCGGTGTTGACGGCGCAGTCGCGGCCCTCGTAGCCGCGCGCGCACAGGCAGGCGTAGGAGCCGGCGCTGTTGAGGCGGTGGGTATGTAGTGCGCAGTGCGCAGGGCGCAGTGCGCAACGGGTACGTACAGGAGGCGCAGTCGTCGGTGTTGACGGCGCAGTCGCGGCCCTCGTAGCCGCGCGCGCACAGGCAGGCGTAGGAGCCGGCGCTGTTGAGGCGGTGGGTATGTAGTGCGCAGTGCGCAGGGCGCAGTGCGCAACGGGTACGTACAGGAGGCGCAGTCGTCGGTGTTGACGGCGCAGTCGCGGCCCTCGTAGCCGCGCGCGCACAGGCAGGCGTAGGAGCCGGCGCTGTTGAGGCGGTGGGTATGTAGTGCGCAGTGCGCAGGGCGCAGTGCGCAACGGGTACGTACAGGAGGCGCAGTCGTCGGTGTTGACGGCGCAGTCGCGGCCCTCGTAGCCGCGCGCGCACAGGCAGGCGTAGGAGCCGGCGCTGTTGAGGCGGTGGGTATGTAGTGCGCAGTGCGCAGGGCGCAGTGCGCAACGGGTACGTACAGGAGGCGCAGTCGTCGGTGTTGACGGCGCAGTCGCGGCCCTCGTAGCCGCGCGCGCACAGGCAGGCGTAGGAGCCGGCGCTGTTGAGGCGGTGGGTATGTAGTGCGCAGTGCGCAGGGCGCAGTGCGCAACGGGTACGTACAGGAGGCGCAGTCGTCGGTGTTGACGGCGCAGTCGCGGCCCTCGTAGCCGCGCGCGCACAGGCAGGCGTAGGAGCCGGCGCTGTTGAGGCGGTGGGTATGTAGTGCGCAGTGCGCAGGGCGCAGTGCGCAACGGGTACGTACAGGAGGCGCAGTCGTCGGTGTTGACGGCGCAGTCGCGGCCCTCGTAGCCGCGCGCGCACAGGCAGGCGTAGGAGCCGGCGCTGTTGAGGCGGTGGGTATGTAGTGCGCAGTGCGCAGGGCGCAGTGCGCAACGGGTACGTACAGGAGGCGCAGTCGTCGGTGTTGACGGCGCAGTCGCGGCCCTCGTAGCCGCGCGCGCACAGGCAGGCGTAGGAGCCGGCGCTGTTGAGGCGGTGGGTATGTAGTGCGCAGTGCGCAGGGCGCAGTGCGCAACGGGTACGTACAGGAGGCGCAGTCGTCGGTGTTGACGGCGCAGTCGCGGCCCTCGTAGCCGCGCGCGCACAGGCAGGCGTAGGAGCCGGCGCTGTTGAGGCGGTGGGTATGTAGTGCGCAGTGCGCAGGGCGCAGTGCGCAACGGGTACGTACAGGAGGCGCAGTCGTCGGTGTTGACGGCGCAGTCGCGGCCCTCGTAGCCGCGCGCGCACAGGCAGGCGTAGGAGCCGGCGCTGTTGAGGCGGTGGGTATGTAGTGCGCAGTGCGCAGGGCGCAGTGCGCAACGGGTACGTACAGGAGGCGCAGTCGTCGGTGTTGACGGCGCAGTCGCGGCCCTCGTAGCCGCGCGCGCACAGGCAGGCGTAGGAGCCGGCGCTGTTGAGGCGGTGGGTATGTAGTGCGCAGTGCGCAGGGCGCAGTGCGCAACGGGTACGTACAGGAGGCGCAGTCGTCGGTGTTGACGGCGCAGTCGCGGCCCTCGTAGCCGCGCGCGCACAGGCAGGCGTAGGAGCCGGCGCTGTTGAGGCGGTGGGTATGTAGTGCGCAGTGCGCAGGGCGCAGTGCGCAACGGGTACGTACAGGAGGCGCAGTCGTCGGTGTTGACGGCGCAGTCGCGGCCCTCGTAGCCGCGCGCGCACAGGCAGGCGTAGGAGCCGGCGCTGTTGAGGCGGTGGGTATGTAGTGCGCAGTGCGCAGGGCGCAGTGCGCAACGGGTACGTACAGGAGGCGCAGTCGTCGGTGTTGACGGCGCAGTCGCGGCCCTCGTAGCCGCGCGCGCACAGGCAGGCGTAGGAGCCGGCGCTGTTGAGGCGGTGGGTATGTAGTGCGCAGTGCGCAGGGCGCAGTGCGCAACGGGTACGTACAGGAGGCGCAGTCGTCGGTGTTGACGGCGCAGTCGCGGCCCTCGTAGCCGCGCGCGCACAGGCAGGCGTAGGAGCCGGCGCTGTTGAGGCGGTGGGTATGTAGTGCGCAGTGCGCAGGGCGCAGTGCGCAACGGGTACGTACAGGAGGCGCAGTCGTCGGTGTTGACGGCGCAGTCGCGGCCCTCGTAGCCGCGCGCGCACAGGCAGGCGTAGGAGCCGGCGCTGTTGAGGCGGTGGGTATGTAGTGCGCAGTGCGCAGGGCGCAGTGCGCAACGGGTACGTACAGGAGGCGCAGTCGTCGGTGTTGACGGCGCAGTCGCGGCCCTCGTAGCCGCGCGCGCACAGGCAGGCGTAGGAGCCGGCGCTGTTGAGGCGGTGGGTATGTAGTGCGCAGTGCGCAGGGCGCAGTGCGCAACGGGTACGTACAGGAGGCGCAGTCGTCGGTGTTGACGGCGCAGTCGCGGCCCTCGTAGCCGCGCGCGCACAGGCAGGCGTAGGAGCCGGCGCTGTTGAGGCGGTGGGTATGTAGTGCGCAGTGCGCAGGGCGCAGTGCGCAACGGGTACGTACAGGAGGCGCAGTCGTCGGTGTTGACGGCGCAGTCGCGGCCCTCGTAGCCGCGCGCGCACAGGCAGGCGTAGGAGCCGGCGCTGTTGAGGCGGTGGGTATGTAGTGCGCAGTGCGCAGGGCGCAGTGCGCAACGGGTACGTACAGGAGGCGCAGTCGTCGGTGTTGACGGCGCAGTCGCGGCCCTCGTAGCCGCGCGCGCACAGGCAGGCGTAGGAGCCGGCGCTGTTGAGGCGGTGGGTATGTAGTGCGCAGTGCGCAGGGCGCAGTGCGCAACGGGTACGTACAGGAGGCGCAGTCGTCGGTGTTGACGGCGCAGTCGCGGCCCTCGTAGCCGCGCGCGCACAGGCAGGCGTAGGAGCCGGCGCTGTTGAGGCGGTGGGTATGTAGTGCGCAGTGCGCAGGGCGCAGTGCGCAACGGGTACGTACAGGAGGCGCAGTCGTCGGTGTTGACGGCGCAGTCGCGGCCCTCGTAGCCGCGCGCGCACAGGCAGGCGTAGGAGCCGGCGCTGTTGAGGCAGGTGGCGGCGTTGTGGCAGGGCGCGGACGCGGCGCACTCGTCCACGTCGCGCTCGCACAGCGCGCCGGCCCAGCCCGCGCCGCACACGCACGTGAACTCCGCGTACGACGCCTCGGCCACGCAGCGCCCGCCGTGCCGGCACCTGCACCACCCGGACGCAACACGCACTTAGTCAACCACTTTCACCAACATTATAACATCACGTACAAGCTAAACTTACCAAGGGTCACAATGAGACTTTAATTTATTGACCATAATTTATTAAATTTGTATACAAAGCAAGATTTTTCAATTCACATTAGTATAATTTTTTTATACTATATATATATATATATATATATATATATATATATATATATATATACACATGTCTATTATTCTAAATATAAAAGAAATGCGTTGACGAAGTAAAAATAGGCAGACTATTAAAAAGGGAACATGTAAAATCACACAAAATTTGCACAACTGATTGAACTTGAAATCTGTCTGTAATTTTTTTATTAAGATTTTTGGTTTGGATGGTTGTCCTTTAAGCTATGTCATCGTTTATCTCAGTATCAAGTGATAATTATCCTTTATAGTACGGCTTCACAATATTTTGATACGTCATATTGCGTTGTTTTTGGGCGATTTTGACGATGGATGTGTTCCGATTTGCACTGCGAGCACTGCTCAGTCCTCTCACTGGTAAAAAATTTGTTCCATTATGGACTGCCAGTATTCTGGCGAATTACCCTATATGGCGTCATAAATCGCCTACATTTTTGTACTGTGATCACTGGCGCTTTTGGGGTAAGGTACTCACAGTACTTTGATCACGTAATCAAAAAACATAATACCTAGAAATTTAATAGCTTCCACGAATTTTTGTTATTATTATTAATTAATAGTGTTATTCAAATAAACTCGGACATTAAGTTTTAAAAGCAACAACATTCAAATAATAATGTTTCTTGATGAACAAAAAACGACTACATGATAAATATTTTAATTTGAAAACAGTGTCGAAAAATGGGGATCACAGTATACTGGACTGTACAGTGTCTGAATTTGTGTTGTGTCTGAACAGTAACCAGAATAGCAAACTAAAAAGGAACGGCTTCATAGTATACTGAATTGACGTTACACTTTACATTGGTCACAGTGTATATCGGAACACACCGGATAACTTGTGCCAGCAGATAGTTGGCGATACTCGCAATATATCAAGGCGCCTAAGCAGATAAACACTTTATCTTGAGATTCACATAACCATCGGAGCACTTGTTTCACCGTTTCCACGAGGTCAAGTTGCAGCCAAAAATCAATTTCTCAGTAATTGCTTATTGTACCCCAGACTGTTTTACCACAGACTGTTTTACCACAGACTATTGAATGTTTTTTTAATTAACTAGCCTTTAAGTTAAAATCTTAATAATATACTTAGCACAATGGGATTTAAATTAGAATAGGAAGGTCAATGACCTTAAATGACCAAATATATCTGTCAACTGTCACTTGAAAAGTACGGATTGCAAATAAAATCAATTTGCTTTTTTAAACTGAGTACACAAAAATAATTTACCGATATAAAATATACTGCGATTGCTGCTCTGCTATACTAAATAAAACGAATTTTAAGCAATTATAGACATGTATTTAAAATAACAGTAAAAAAATATATTTTCATTAATAATGTTAATTTTTTTTCTTATGTACCCTTTTCAGATTGAATAAGGGTTCTTTTTACATATACTTCACACGTAGCAATGTTTTCTTATTCGTATTACACGAATACTAGATATGAAATAAAACAATTTTTTCGAATTTGATCGCGTTTAATTTAATTTATTTAACTTATTTTTAATTCTTTACTGTACCCATGGTCACGGGAAGACTGAGGTGTTTGGAACCCACGACCATGGGTACTGTCGGAAAAAAAAGTAATAATAAACGCGATAAAATCCGTAAAATGATTTGTATGAAATGATGCGGGTAGTATGTAAAGGGAGCACTGACTGGTTGGGCTGGCAGGGGTCGAGCGTGTTCTCGCAGTTGCGGCCGGAGTGCGGCGGCGCGCACACGCAGCGGTAGCCGTCCACCAGGTCGATGCACGAGCCGCCGTGCAGGCACGGGTTGCCCGCGCAGTCGTCGATGTTCGTCTCGCAGTTCACGCCTGCGCGGCGCCACACAACCACAACACACCCACATTATAATATCTTCGCATGTCTTTTATTTACACACAAACATTCGTACAAAACTAATACTTGCAGTTAAAACGTATCAAAATTCGAGATATTTGCCATAATTGTAGGCAGTTTAGCAACCCACAGTCTTTTTTATTTTTCTGGTAGTTTTATTTTATCAAATAAGAGTGACAAATGAGCACACAGTTCACCTGATAGTAAGTGGATACTGTGGTCCATAGACATCTACATCTATCCTCGATTAAGATGGATTGCCCCGCTTCCAGTAAAAAAGATTGGGGTGCTATTCTGGAAGAGCGTGATCCTTCCGCGGCCGATCCAACCCATTCGTGCTACAACCATAATATAGTTGCAGCTACGGTTTATGTTAAAATTGCTGCCCATCTCCTGGTTTGTTTCCATCTGTCGCCTCTTACGTTGTTACTTAGTAGTGGATATTCTTACAACAATACTATAGGGTAGAAAAGCACTAATTATGCGATAAAATATAAAATAAAATCATTTTCAGTTAGATCATACAGGAAAGTATTATACATGTGTATTTCTACATCACCACATGAGTAAAGAAACCGTACAGAGGCAAAGCTAATAAAGAGCTGTCAACATTTTTACCTATTTTGGTAGAGTTGGCACAAAAGAATTAAATTTACAAAACGTTTATAAGCGTTTATTATATATTTAGGATATAATATTGTTTTACAGACTACTTATTACATTAAAAAGGTAATTTTCTTTTTATCATCACCCGTACAGTTTCAAGGCTAAACGTGGACCTTTCCCGTTGTAGGGGGTGCATCCTAAATATCATAACATGCCTACAGCAGAAATATAAAATTGGAAGTGCATTGTTTTAAGTAGAAAGCACAACATTTCCTCCTACCTCTCAAATTTAAAATTTTAGGCCGGAATAATAGAAATAGTGATAAATTATATTTAAAAATTAAAATTTTCAATTAAACTAACCCGTGAATCCGAGTACACAGTCACATTTGTACGCATTGAGCCGATCGTGACACGTGCCGCCATGTTGACACGGATTAGAGCTGCATTCGTCGATATCGCGCTCACAACGTTGACCTTGTAGGCAAATAAATTGGAAACAATTATTAACAAAACATCACACACTTTACATTTAGATATAAAGCTTTGACGATCATATGGGTTTCCATTGAAAAGACTAGGAGCTTACCTCCGTATCCCGGTAAACAGTGACAGATAAACTGGTTGACTCCATCTTCGCATGTTCCTCCGTTGATGCAAGGATTTGAAGCGCACTCATTGACATCGGACAAGCACCTAGAACAGAACAAAGTTATATTCCCTTATTCGTCCTATTTAATATATCAATTTTTTTTTATTCAAATGTTAATCTGTAATCTTGGTATATTCCTCAATATATTTTCTCGATGTAAAAAAAATTAATAGTAGACAGTGGGCCTAACACCAAAAGATACCGCAATATTAATATTTTTTCATTAATTATCCAACTCTTATTTCACATTACATAAACTATACATAAAAAATTAATGTATTCATCACATTTCATCAACAAAATTATTTTGGGTTGGCTAGCTTTATGAATTTGCAAATGTTTCTTTATAATATTATTGCAGCATGTGGCTTTGACATGTGTTATGTCGATAATACAATAATTACATAAAATGTAATCACGTAAATGTCGATCGTATATAAAAGCAATAGTAGCAGACCTGGCATCGTAGTATCCCCGAGGGCACTCGCATCGAAAGCCGTTGATGCGGTCGATGCACTTGCCGCCGTTCGCACACGGGTTGGAGAGGCACTCGTTGATGTTCGTCTCGCAGTGCTGTCCAGTGAATCCCGGGATACACTCACAGGTGTACCTGCAATATAGAAAACTTTGAGCATGTTGAGGTAAGGCACACGAGGTGAAGGAGTAAAGATCGAGATAAAGTCCAATTTTCTCTTAAGCATTCCAGTTGTAATAGAACTTTTATCATCAACATCATGACAGCCCAACAGAAGCCCGATGCTGACCTGACCCGGTGCTGACAGCGTCGACCACTTTTTTTTGGCATAACGCGGTCCTGATCCACTGTACATTTATAGCCAAATACAGGTGGCATAAGAATCTATTGACCCATTTTGTCCCGTGGGTGTCGTAAGAGGCGATACAGGGAAACTGAAACAGGAGATTAGCATAAGCATCTTCCTGATAATAACTTAATAATGATCACTTGATAATCAAAATCTATGAGGCAAACTATGGAGGTGGCCTATATTCAGCAGCGGACTGTGGATAGTTTGTAATGCATAAAAAACAAAATCAATAAACAAACAAATAGTACTAAAATAGACTACTCGCATAACAAAGCCTTGCATTAATTTACTGTGATATAGCATACCAAAAACCTAAATTATATTTAGTCATACATATGTACATAAAATACCGAAAAATAATTTGACATTCAATACAATAAATATATAAAACGGCATAAGCAAACTATATTATTTCATTTCTTTTTCTGTATGTAATAAAATATATTGCATGCCTAAGACGTGCTTTCACTTACTCGAAATAATTATTGCTGCGTGGAAAGAAATAATAATGAATTTAAAAATGAAATGTATATAACAAAAAATGAAACGTCAAAAACGTGGACAGGGGACTGCAGGTAGACGCAATTTACATAGACTTTTCAAGTGCCTTCAACAAGGTTAGCCCCCAAACTCTGCTGTCTAAACTAAGAGGAATGGGCATAAGTGGTTCACTGTTGCAGTGGTTCGTATCTTACCTGGCAATGAGACCTCAGCAAGTGGCTATAGATGGATTTGAGTCTGAAATGTTTTTGGCTGAGTCTGGTGTCCCCCCGGGGTCCCACTTGGGTCTTCTACTCTTTTTGATATTTATTAATGATTTTTATAATGATAATGAGTATTATATTACAAATAATTACTTCGAGCCTTTTAATAATAATATAAATATATTAAATTAAACTGAGTAATCTCTAAAGAAGTCTTTACTTTCGTTATTATTGTCAGAGCAAGTGTTAAAGTGAAATGACATGTAAATACAAGTAATTTTAAATTTGTAATATCTTGTAATCGAAGGACTTAATTTATTTTTGACTACAATATAGTATTTATTGTATGCCATACGTCCGTTAGTTCTACAACAAATTAGATAAAAAGATTTCCTCCTTTCTTACTGTCAAAGAATGTATACCTGTTGATGCCGTCAATGCACGTAGCCCCGTTCCTGCAAGGGTTGGAGTAGCACTCGTTGACGTTGATCTCGCAGTTGCGGCCCGAAGTACCCGGCTTGCAGCGACACTGATAGCCATCGATCAGGTCTTCGCAGTGGCCTATTGAAGGGAAAGTAGTCTAACTAACATAATAAACGTCCAATGTTTATCTATAATCTCTATCTCTAATATCTCTTTAAACTTAATTAAAAAAGAGTTATCTTTTTTAATTAACTTTAAAGAGTGATCTTAGACCTCGAAGTCTATATGACGGTAAAAATACAGCAGTCCCAAAGACAAGACAAGTCAACTCTAATTTAAAAAGGTTATTAGTGCGATATCTCTCTTTAAAGTAGCGCTGTGGCAGTTCTTAGACACTTATGTCTACGTAAACATAAAATGTTTACATTTATAAATGACCGATTTTTTTTAATATACTTTTATGCAATGCATTATGTAAGACTTGAAGAATTTAAGGAATAATTCGGCATCCACAGCAGAACATATCATATACACATGAATAAAACAAATAGAATATAAATTTTGTTTACAAACTTTATGGTCCTTCAAGCCGGATCTTTTATCTTTGAGTCAATTTTTCATAGGGCTGAGGATGTCAAAATTGATTCCTAAAATGCAACGCTCATCGTTAACTGTAGTTTTGCGTGCAACGTATAGCTCACCTCCGAACTGACAGGGATTGGACTCGCATTCGTTGATCTGCGTCTGACACACGCGGCCGGTGTACCCGGGGTGACAGTTGCAGGTGAAGCTGTTGTCGCCATCGATACACTCGCCACGGTGACAAGGTGCCGATAGACAGTCGTTGATGTTAGTTTCACACGAGACACCTAAAAAATATTCTCACTTTAGCGTATGATCGTAGAGACCAGTTTTGTAGGCACGGCCCCTATAAAATGTGATTATGGCAACGATTAAATGGTATAAAAAAATTAAAATTAATAGATATGGATATAGATTTGTTTCAACTTCATAAATATAGGCCTTTTATACAGTTTAAGCATCCACAAATTTTAGCCTTAAAATTTGTGATACTTGTATTTGCCTGATTTAATTCAATTAATTTTTCAACGTTTTTTTACATTCCAATTTACAGTAGAGTATTATAATATGAGTTAAGGGAAACAAACGATAATTAAAAATAATGTAATTCTAACGGACTTTATCGTGTTTATTTTTAAATTATTTTATAATACCGGACCTTTCGAAAATGTGCGTTTCGAGTACTTGGTCACGATCACGAGGTGATGATGATTACGAAGGAAGGGACTGAGGTGGAGGAATATTATATTCATTGTATCAAGATGTAGTGGGTTTTTGTTGAATATAATTAAGAAATCGTTGTAAATTTTAATATTCGTTAGACATCTACAAACCAGTGTATCCAGGCAGACACTCGCAGGTGTAGCCGGCGATGGAGTCGTGGCAAGTGCCGCCATTGCGGCACGGGCTCGACGCGCAGTCATCGATGTTCACTTGACAACGAGCGCCCGTAAAACTGTAACAAATGAAATGAAAGATATTCAAAAATACTAAGCTTTAAATAATTTCTTAAAGTAGCGGCAAATTAATTTAATGTCACTATACTTTCTTCAGACAGATCGATTCACATTAGTGTCATCTAAGGAAATTATTTTTTAAATTATAAATTTCTTAGATGAAAAAATATAGTCAAGTTGTAATACATTGCGTTTTCTCTGAAAGTGTATGCCATTGGCCCTGCGGTCTTAGGTCTGCGGTACAGCTTCATCGAAATAGGCTCGTAAGTGAAGACTTACGAGTTATTGAGTGCGATTATTCGACTGCAGTCCCGAGGGACCCAGGCCCCTTCTTTCGGAATGAGGCTCCTCTTACTAGGGGAGAGCTCGATGTGATTCAAGGAGGTACGAACCTTGGCTTGAACCACTATCGCATACATTTCGTCGCATGATATATATATCCTTTATATAAGAGACACGGCGCACAAATCATATGGCGTAATGTAATAAAAAGTGATCATTTTAATGTCGACAAATTTAGCGAATGGCCTATTCTTTGCTAGTCATTATATTTCATTTAAGTTAGGCATATTTACATTCGCTTACCCTTCGTGGATCGAAAACAGTCGATACTTTTCTTTAAAAAATATTACCGGACAGTCTGACCATCCATTTATTAGAACCTTCAAAACTAGAACTAGAACTAGAACTTAGAAACTCACCCAATGACGCAAGTGCACCTAAACGCGTTGATCATGTCATGGCACACGCCACCGTTCAGGCAGGGGTTGTTCGCGCACTCATCAATCTCCACCTCACATTGTGTTCCCGTGAATCCTGTAATACGGATAAATACACATTTAAAAGCAATATCAGGTTACATTATGGGGATGCTTTAACTGGCAAATTACAAAGCAATATTACCGAGAACGAGTTATTATATCGAAGCGACATATGTTACTACCAAAGACATAAAAAGTTAAAAACCTGGACTAGCCTCACCTAGGACATAGCGAAATGTGTACGCAACAAAGTCGGTTTGCGTAAAGTTTACGGGTCAATTGAGATCATATTCATATAGCACCGGTATTAAAATATCTTCCATGATTTAGGTTTAGGATATTGTGGTTTATTAAGTTGTTTTGGTTTAGGACACTTATTCCCATGTCATGTCTCTTTTAAATGTATATCCAACATTTTTGGGTTTGTCTATCATTACTAGTTCTAACAGTGGTATTTTTACTCAATTTCTAATGAAAGATTCGTTTTAACAGCTCAAATAAGTTAATAATAATCTCAATATTAATTAAAAATACTCTATGGCAGCTACCTTCAAACCGCCATAGCCGATATAATACAAAAAATAATAACTATCATGTTTCTACAGGAATATAAGTAGGATCAGCAGCTCCATAACAACGCTATCTATATCTATATCTGTACAAATAAATAAAATTGAAGTGTCTCTTTGTAATGTCAAAATAACAGTCTTTTACTAAATGCATATGAAAGCATATACGGTACTTATAACAAAAACACAATTTATAAATTTTTGTCTGCCTGTCCATCAGTCTGTTTGTTCCTAATCTCCGAAACGGCTGGACCGATTTTGACGGGACTTTCACTGGCAGATGGGTGATATTATAAGTAAGTAACTTAGGCTACTTTTAATTTAGAAAAATAATTAAGGTTTCGCGCCAACAGTTAAAACCCCAATTACACGCAGGCGAAGTCGCGGGGAAGCTAGAAGGGAACAAATTTAAAAAAATTACTTTCAATATTTATCTGAAAAAACCACTACTGTCTAGGTTAACACACACAGAGAGGTGCGTTAAAGTCATGTTAAATAACAATTACTTGTTAATTAATAATCTAATATTATTGTATATTTTCTTAAAGAAAGTTGTCATGAGATTACAGAAGCACATGATTCGCAATACATGACTGTCTACCGATTAGATAGTCGAACAAGTCTGTCGGGTTCCTTCAATGTCAATCAAGCCAGCGGTTCGGAGAAATTATAATTGGGTTTCTAGAGACAAACTGGCTTCTTGACGGTGAACAAGACGGATGGCATGCGTTATGAGATTCAAATATAGTTAATCGTTTATACTGTACCACGGAGGATAATGTAAAATTACTGTCAGGTAAAACAATTGAACTAAACTATAAATCAACATGGGTATACATAATATTTAAAAAATGTGTGTAATTCAGACGCAATAAAAGTGAAAAATTCAGAAAAGTAAACAGAGATATAACATGAAATATTGTATTATTCTATTTTTTTTTAAATATATCTAAGCCAGCGCTTAACTACAATCCCACCTGATGGTAAGTGGTGATGTAGCCTAAGATGGTGAAGCGCACTGACTTGACAAAAGCCTGTTCACTCTTGCCTTGAAGATATCCACTCTCTAATAGGATGGAAAGACAGATGCTATCAAGTTATTCCGCTCCTTTGCTATACGCATGATGAAATATGTAGCAAACAGTTTTGTTTATTTATAATTAATCTATCAATTTTACCTGTCAGGCTAAATGCTATAGATGTATATGTTTGTCTCTTTTTAACGTAGTTATTTCGCTTCAAATCACAATAATGCAAAAGAAGTTGCCAGTTCAAAAACTAATATATTTTCCTAGTAATTTAAGGACGTTATTTTGTAATTGTATGTATTTGTAACAATATAAAGTTATGGCCGTGTAATAGCGAAGTAAGTATATCCACTACCCCATATCGCATCCCGTGAGTGACGTAAGATGTACCCAATACCCATCTCTCGTTTCAGTTTCTCTCTGTCGCCTATGGAATAAGCGAGATAGTGGAAACTCTTACGTTGACGATGCACTTACTATACTACAATATAATTTTGATAACAGCATAATAAATGATTTCCTATCATAAAACAGAAACAACGCATTTCAAACGATTCTTAATAAATATAATTTAAAATTGAAAATTTTGTACAACCGACTTCAATATAAATTATTAATAATTACTCAAAAACTGTAGTTCAGACCTTGATCAATTTATATGGGACCATATGAGAAGAACCAGATTTCAAATGAAAAAAGAATCATCGAAATCGGTTCATCCAGAAAAAAGTTATAAGGTACACACATAAAAAAAACAGTCGAATTGACTACCGTCTCCTTTTTGAAGTCGGTAGAAAAGTAATAAAAATTAAATTGAAAGCAACATTTTATGATCTTCAAGCGACACTGAGTAACTTTAAATTTTTACAAATCAAAACTCATACAACAACATCATATGTTTGTTTACGTTTAATGAATTTTGCAACCGTATGTACCTACGCGTCTTAAGTTTGTATGCAGAGTCAAAACTTTGTACCTATATATATGTTAGGTATTTATATTTATATAAAAGTAAATATAAACTGTTGTGTACATCTAATAAATAAACAAATAAATAAAACTCACTGGTATGCATGAAATTTTCGTACATTTCCCAAGTACAGACGAATTTGTGTCGATTGGATTCGTCACATTACTCTACTGCGTAGTTATGTATGTCGCAGTAAAGAGCGTGTTTACCAGTTCTCGAATAAATGTTATGGATATGGATAATGTAAATATTGGCACAATTTGATTTTGTGCTATTTAAACCACATTCGTCACTTGGTTCCATAATACTTGCACTATTTTACAACAAAACTCTTTTTGTGCAACAGTGTTGCCACAAGGAAGTGAACAAACAGAAATAATTCAAAACTGCGAGTCATTTACATAGTAACATTATTTAATCTGTGGTCTCGTTGATAGACCGTATTTGGTAGAATGAGTCGTGTACAATAAAATCACAAACGTAAGTTAAACTGTTTAGAATTCAAAATTGAGTGATCGACGTGTGCCCATATCTGGATAATCTAGCTCAGAGCAATGCAGAATCAACCAACCGTCTAGAAGGAAATGTTTAATTCAGAATTTTGATCTCTATTCCAAAGGAGTAAAGTTCATACATATTTAGTACAAATGATAAAAAAGTCTTCAATAATTCCAACAGAAATCGCTAAGCCGCCAAAAAGGGTATGCGGTCCCGACTTTCGTTTATGTAATCGTCAATTAACATTTCTTCCGTACTAGTAGTACTTATACTCATAATAATAAAGTTCATTTTGGACTATGAATTTGTTAATATTGATAGCCTCACAGTCGAAGCAGGAATCTTCCGACAATACATACTTGTGATATCTTAAATGCTTTAACCATAAGTAGAAAAAGCCTTATTTAAGCATTGACCTGCTTTATCTTATTCTTTGTTAAATAAAATATTAATGAGACAATGTAAGCAACTTCATAAAATCAGCACTTGCATACAATTTTCAAATGTTTTGCATTATGTTAAGGAATGTTGCATGAGAGTTGCATAGAATTAAATTAAGACCTTGTTATTTTTTTTTTCAAAAATATTATGTTTACGTCAATAGGTTATTGAATACTTGAGTATAAAACATTATTTTTTCCTACCAATGGTTTAAAATAAACCACAACTTGGAGGTCTTACAAAAATAGAACTTTTGATCTTTATGGAGTTTTTTATTGGAGACTTTCATTGGTATTTACGAGAAAAAAAAACCTGTAACTGACAGCCTATTGCCTTATTCCATCTGTTCCAAATAGCCGCCGTTGCGTTTATTTCGTCTGTTCCAAGTATTATAAGATTTGTAATAAAATAGCATAGACAGAATGTCAGAAAAATGAGATCGAAATAGGAGAGAATTTAAAATTGGAACAAATGCAGTAGAATATGTAAAACATTTTAGTTAACAATAAAAGTAATAGCAAATGGTGTAAATTCAAATAACGTTTGTTTCTTAAAAATATGTATACCATTATGATTTCTATGGTGATTGAATCTTATGTTTATTCCCATAACTATCGTACTGACCCGTAATTACACGTAGGTAATCGGGCAATATTTCAAATGATAGATTTGTGGGCAATAAAACTTTACGCAAGCGCATTTCTATAACCGTCACGGTCTATTGGACGTTTATCGTTAATCTCCAAAATGGTGGACGGGTGGGGATGCCACACCCCGTGTTTGGGCGCATAGTGTTCGGATGGTCCAAGTTAAAAGTTACTAGCTTTTTATGTGTACTCTCGTAGCTATGATGCTTCGTTAGTTCAAGTATCACAGTCTTAAAAGTGATGAAAAGTTTATTATAAAACTTATTTTTATGTTTTTTGTTACTAGATGGGATATCTCTGCCCGTAACTCACTGTTAGATGTCATGGGCTTCTCTCATGTTGGGAGGATTTCGACGCGAAATTTCCATAACATGGACTCTGTCCCACCTCACCACCAAATATTTTAGACTTGTACTCTTCTTAAATACCTAAGTATACGTGTAACAGTAGATTATTCTAGATTTTTCCTAAGTGATAGGATTACCGTCGCCACCACTATGGGGATCCTCATTTATTCGTACTTAACCAAACGCGGGACCAAACATCGTTTGTTATCCCTTATAAGCTGACATTATAACATCAAAGTACACGTTTTCTATACACCGCTTCCTCCGCTAACGTGCGTCGTGGTCCGAAATGTCACGATTTCGGATCACAAGCCACAATAGGAATGTCCGGCGCATGCTAATGCCGGCTTTATGCGCATATTTGAATGTTTAATGCGCGTTTTAGTTAAACACGTGACCAGATGGGAAGGCCTTGGCTCGGATATAACAAACTCAAACCCAAAGCGCCATGTATAACTGTTGGACGACGTAGAACTGCAGGGACGCTGGACGTCCGCGATGAAATTGGAAGTATAGACAGTTGCTTGAACAAATAAGATATAGAAAAAACTCCTT